TTCAGCTCTAGAAAAACGAGATTTGTTTGCATCACTACTATAAAACACTTCGCAGCTGAGCTAAGCTTTGTAGTTCACAGCTTTGTGATCCACAAGGCTGTGAACCACACAGCTGCATCCACCGAAACAGCCTATCAGCGGGACTCCGAGACACAAACTGACGGTGAAAGTCTTACAGTTATGGGGGTACCTCCCACAAGCACCCTTCTGGGGATAAATTTTGCTACCTCTAAGTTTTATTCTTGGATTGATAGTTCATAGGGTCACACTTATCAACTGTACCAGGATAGCAGGATATCTTGTGTGCTCCCTCTTTGGGGCCACATGGTGTGATGGATGCACTCAACCCCTTAACCAAACTAGCAGTAATTTGGTACAGGCTCTAAAGCAGATAAAGGCCTGAGCCATAGCCGGGCCAAAAGCTCCTCTAGTTTCAATCTGTTCTCTGAAAAAAACACAAAGGAGCAGAGTGACTCAGTGATCACCGGTGCATATGAGCTTGGAACACCGATCATGCGATTAACAGAGGAATGGCTTTTCCAGGACTCATTTATCAAGGAACAAAGAAAGTTGTGGGTACAAGGAGTCTCATGCATACCTTTCCCGTCGCATGTAATTTGACTATGAGCCAACAACCCCTTTATTCCACAAATACGACAGCCTAAATGAGCCTTCTTGGAGCTCTCCCTGCTAGGCAGCGTGGCTGCGTGGAGGTGATCTCCCCTTGAGCTGGGACACCCCTCAGGGCTTCTTGTTGAGGCAGAGAGGCCTTTTACCAATGGCAAATCTTTGGTAAGCAACCGATGTTGCCCATAACCTCGTAGTATGGTAACTTTGATGTTGGTAACCTTCATTTGTACCTTGGTAACTTTGATTTTGTCTTGGTAACTGATTTGTGCCTTGATAGTTTTGAATCACTGTTCAAACGATTGTGCCACACAGTAACAGAGTGAACCTTGCCACTGAACTTCATGAAGTCGCACTTTTACAACATCGTATTAAAACCGCTTTTGCTAATACCTTTGCCAGTGGTTCTTTAAGCAATCTCAATTCCCCATTTGCAACAAATTGGTGTAGTCAGCAGGACCCTAAATCAGGATTTGCGACACACAGTCAAATTGCTAGTTAGCATGACTCAAATGGGGAGGAAACCCTCCTCTTGAAAAGAGAAAACCTGCATGAAAATCAGGAGTCCTTACTGGTATTTAGCATTTAGAAACAAGGACAGCACAGAGCACAACAGAATAATACAAAAATTACTTATATTTCTATTTCTTACAAAACATTCAAGAAAAAATTAAGATGTAGGCAAATTTCATTATTCTCAGGTGCATCCATCATTGAGTTAGGAGATGGAAAACTATTTTTTCTTTCTCCCTCTGTGTTTCTCTGGTGTCTGCTGTCAAGGTCTTTCTCCCCATAGTAATGGGGAGTAATTCCTTTGCTCCTTGGGGCAAGCCATGGGGAAGCTAAACTTTTTCAGCCCAGTAAGAGCACTCAGTAAGAGCATTCACTTGTTTACAGTTTCATACAGTGAATAAAGAACAATTCTTTCATCTTCCCATGTGTTTTTTTTCCTGAGTTTTCTGTCCCCCCATCTCAGTATAATCAATATAATATTAAACAAATGCACTTAGTCCCTACTTAAAAAAAAAGAAAGAAAAAGAAAAAAGCATCATCCTCATTCACTGTGATAGAGGCTATATTTTATCCATGAGCTTCTGAGTATGATGGCTCCTTTCAGATGTGAAAGCATGACAGAAAGTGGAGGCCCTATCTGTTGGTATATAATTCTGTACTTGAAGGTAATCAGCAAGGCCTCATTGTCCTTGAGATCCTCTTCAGGCTCATGATCCTTCCTTAATTATGAGGTTTTAACTAAGCTTCTAACTATGCATCTCTAATGAGAGTAATAGTTTTTTTCTGTTTGGTTTTTTTGGTTTGTTTTTTCTTTTCTTCTTGGTTCCAGGATATCTCAGAGTAGAGTCTGTTCACGTACACACCAGTATCACTGTAGTCTGTTATGATCACTACTTGTCCTAACTGACATTTTACATTTTACCTGTTTGTGTGGTATTTGTATTAGTTTGGGATTGAGGGACCCTAAGTGAAACTTAAGTTGATGTCTTTTTTTCTCTCTTTTGCAACTTGAAGAATAATAATCAGTACCTCAGAGAGAGAGGTTTAGACTCTTGAGCAGCAACCTGACTGCTCTGCAAGAAGCAGCTCTTGGAAAGCATTGCACTCAGTAGCTCAGTGACTGTGCTCAAAGGCTGCCCGAATGCATATCAGTGCAACCACTGCTGCCCATGTAGGGGCTGGAAATCACAGACCATTCTGATCCACGCAAAAGAAGTAGAAGAGCCACGATGGAGGAAAAATAATTGCAGAAATAGAGAAGATACTATTTTTCCAAGTGTTAGAACACTAGAAATGCTATTTTGACACCAAAGGAAATAAAAACTTGAAAGGTGAGAAAGTCTATCAACTTCAGGTCTATATGCATATATGGAAATCTGAAAAAATAATTTCTCATTCCAATCAATTAATAGCAGGACAAGACCAACAAAGCAAATCCAGTCTACAGGAACATTGACAAAACTAATTATACGGTTTCCAAAACCATCCTGTCCAGTCACTGAGAAACAGAGAGATGTAGTACAAGTAGCAGTTTTTTAGAAGAGTTTTCAGAAAGGCAGCTCATAATCTGAATTCAAAAATTCTTTATTCTTTCTTACCTGGCTAAAAGAATATAGCATTAAGAATTGACAGTACTTTCGAACTGCAATCTAATACTATCATTTCTGCTTAAAAATTTTGTACTTTTCATCCAATAACAGAACAAATAGCCACACCCTTGCACCATCTGAAATGAAAAGAATTATCCAAATACACTGAATGTGAATATGAATGTTAACTGGTCATGGTGAGTAAAGTAGAGAATTCGCATGTTCTGCTGTTCAAAGTAGGATAAACTTTGGCCTGTGTGACAGAAATGGCTACTGTAAAAAGCCTTACAACGCTGATGGTTCCTTGCGGTACTGCTGGGACAAGAGCTCTGTGTTCCTATTTGTACACAAATCTAAAAATCAGTTAGCGTCAAGAGATGTGTGCAGAGTGATTATCGCTGACTTCTGAGTAGCTTCAACATATATTCACAGGGAATATTATAAAATAAACTTCATTTTCAGTGGCACCATGCCAGCACCACCAGTGTTTAACTCATTTTATGTATAATAATACAATTAATAGGACCTGGTGCAAATAGGTAAAAAGACAGGGACTCAGCTGCAAAGAACCTATAAAGATAATTTATAGGCGGAGGAAAAGGGATAAAGACAGACAGTAACAAAACTCGCACACTTTAAAATAATAGCATAAATACTGCTGGCATCATGTTGGGTTTTGTTGCTATTCTTGTTTTACTGCCATTACTGCAAGTAAGTATTTATTGTGAGATACCAGATGTCCTCTGGTACAAATTTGTCCTTTTAGGTACAAATTTGTCTTTGGGATGTACTTGAAGGAGTGGAGGAAAAATACTGAAATTATATTTAAATCTTCAAACATTCTTAAATAAAGTTTCTCCAAAAAAGACAACATGCTGGACTCGTGCTTATACTGTTAGAGCGAACACGCATGGGACCGTTCTCTTGCACCGAAGCCAACTGAATAAAATGACCTTTGTACGTATGGTTACTCTCTCTTACCCTCCACAAGAGAGCAGCTACCTCCACACTGCCCGCCAGAAAGGGTCCCAGGCCTGTGCCACCCCCCAGCCTGTATCGGGAATCGCAGTGACAAAAGCTAGGTGGCAAGGATCAAATCGCTGCCAGGAACCGTTGCGAGGATTTAGCAGTAGAAAAGATTGCATGGGTTTGTGCCCATGCAATAGTCCCTCGAAGTGTTCAAGTCTGTAATATAGAAACGCCTATACAGGGATTGCCCCTACCACTGCTGAAGGTGAAAGCAGCCCGCGTTCCCAAATCTCCCATTACCAGCATCTTCTCCTCAACCAGCCTGCACTTCTGGATTCATGCTGCTGGATGAGTATTGTGGTAGGACAGACATGGCTTACTTTTGAAACACGTGGGATTATAAACTCCTATACTCCTGCACTTTTTTAATATTTACAGAATCGCCAGGGAGAATATGATCCTGTCCAAGCAGTAATTTCCTGCTTTTTCCAAGAAGGCAACTGAAAGTTTAGATGTGTGTAAACAGCTCATGTTCTCGTGCTGTTATTCAGAAGTAAACTACTACAAGGCAAGATCATGACTGCTTGATACATCAGTCAAGGAGTAGAACATGCAGAGAGGAGGAACATGTGCTATGTGCATGAGGCTGCCAACCAAACATCTCTTGGACAAGAAGTGCTCTTTCTTTGCTGAAGCAATTGAGAATATGAGCGAGTCAAAACACCGAAACTAAACTGGGGGTGGGGGGAAAAGAGTTCCTTCAGCCATCAGCAGTGACATACATCTTTTTGTCTTTTCACATTAATTCAAAATTCCACTAATTTCTAACAAGAATAATAAAAATGGAGTTGTGGTATGAGCATTAATAACTCATCACCATGCAGAAACAAATCCTAGCGTATGAAATACAAATACTGAACCCATGACACCTACACTGATAAACTTAAAAAATTAAACTATTTCTCATTCTGCTTTTTCATTACCTGGAGACAACATGAAATATTTTGTATTTTATAAATTGTATAAATAGCATAAATGATAAAAATATAACTATTTTATGGAGTTATGTTTTTTAATTGAATACATTTTGCTGATGATCTTTATAAATATATTTCCACAAAGATCATAATTCCTTCAATTAAAAATAGCAAGCCTACAACCGTTGCTGGCAGACATGGTTTTTCTCTGAAGAAAGTCTGAAAGGCTCATCAGCAAAACAACACCACAAGCACTACCAGAACATTACAAAAGACTTTGTACTGTAGGTAAGAAAAAGTTTTCATGAAATTTAAAAGAATTTACCTTGACAAGAAGTCTGTGAAAGAGAGACGTATTGGATATCCATGTCGTATGATTTTGACCATGTCTAGGACACCAATGTACTGCAGCTGAGCAGACACATAAAAATTGTCAAAAGTATCTGGCAACTTGGAGTTATTAGGCTTTATACAATGAACAGAATGTGGCGTGCAGTTCTGCAGCTTCCCAATAATATCTGTGAGTGATTTCTGTAGGAAAAAAATCAATTATCAATCATTATTATGTAGCAAAAACAATTGCTCAACACATATGCTTTTCCTAACCTTTTAACATCATTTTCTCAAAAGGCTTGACCGGGCCATACAAGTGGCTTTCTCAAGCATATGGTTTTTATTTCTTCCACTGCAATGTGTAGAGACTAATCCTGCCTTTATTTTATTTTTTTTTTTAAGTTTCTGTCCAGAAGATGTTCACTAACCCTGAGCTGTATTGCCACAGTAGTTGGGCCCCCTCGTTCCAGTCTCTGAAGAAATGAAGATGTTCCTTTCTTTTTCAACAACTGTGGGGGAGAAAAGCACACACATAATACCTTTATCTCAAGATGGGCAGTAAACTTTCTTTTTCATTCTTACACAATTTACTAACAAAGGCAAACATTTATACAAATACTATAACACAGACAATGATTTGAGTTTCAGAAAGAATTGGAAAAGTGGATAAATATCCTCAAGTATCTGCAGAGCCATGACTGGCAAGAAAATTTTTATTTCGAAAACAGCTGTATAGCATTGGAAAGATAAAATAACTTTTCCAAATAACTGGGCAAAGCAATATGATCTGGAACTCTAATGCAGAAGCAGAACCTGTAAGCAGAACTTGTGCAGTTAGTATCCCATACGGTCTGCCTATAAGTAGCATAATTCTGTAACTCTCTAAAAGGTTCCTTATGTCTTTGGCAGGTGCTTAAGTGAGTAAATGTAAGCACAAATCATTAAAAAAATCTTGAAGGCAAAACAGTAATACTAATATTTTAAAAAACCTTCTCTTTTCTTCCTGCACAAGTGCACACAGGTAACCTTTTTTCTTTTCTTTTTTAACCAGTTTTCACACATTATAGACATAAATTATCAAAAACTTTGTATCTAGTCAGAACCAATGTTTCTTATACATTAGAGTTGGAAGTGGGGAACAAATTCATTTTTTGCACTTCTACGTCCTATCTTTGAGACTAAAATGGCAATAATAATCCTAAAAGTGGTCCCAGAAATTAGTGGGTTTTTGTTACATTTTCTATGGGAAGGCTGGCAAAATTATTGCATTACAGCATTCAGCCAAGCTCTTATTCAGCCAAACCTCTGTATCAATGACAACCTTTTCATCTCTGACTTTTTTTCATTGCCTTTCTCCAGTCCACATACCCCATAAAACTCCCTTTCTATCAAGTCAGCATGTTTTGGCCTACTCCTGTCTTTTTCCAGTTGCATCAAAAAAGTGTACATTTCCTCAGCTTGGCCCACTCAAGCCAAAATCCATTAAAAATATTGCAGTGCAAGCAATTGTCTACTCACTATACTAAAATTTGAAGCTTTTTTTTACTTCAAATCTCACTTACTAGGTTGCTATAAGATTTTAAAGGCAAATTCATCCCCAACTTCAAAACGGAAAAGTAAAAGAGATCTACTTGTTCCAGGTCTTCTCATAACAAGAACCACTAGCATGCCGATGACATTTCTCAGTTAAAGTTTACAAAATAATTGAGGAATATAGCTAAAATACAGTTTTCTCCACTTGACAGATAATGCACTCAGCCTTTCCTCCTGACAGATTAAGTCACTAGTTCAAGACCATTTCCAGAGTTAGTGGAAGAGCCAGGAACAATGCTTTGGATGCTAAAGTTCCTGCCTGCTGTCCTGTGTTGCATACTTCTTCCCATGGGAAAGAAGTGTTTGCTTCAGAACACGGGAGAGAAAAGAAAGGGTACAAGACAAAGACAAAAAACTGAATTTAATTTACACTCTCCAAACTTGGACATCTTCAGCTATGCGCTAAGGAACAAGACTGCATCACTGAAGGTGTACTTCTCTATACAGCTTTGCATTGGAAAACCTTGGACCTCTAATCTACAGAAAAAAATGCATATGTGTAACTTTGTAACCTCTGTTAAGAAGCTAGAACCTCCTCCTAAAACTTCTCTTTACCAGCAGAATATTTTAAAGTTTTAACCAGAAGACATGCCAAAAGCTTTTCAATAGATGAGTTCTTCAACTAACAGACAATGAAGCAGAGTGTTCATAAAGAGAAACAACATAAAGTCAATGGAAAGAAAAGCCTTCTGTTAGTGATGTGCATTCATATGACTAGACTTCTACTGCATGAAATCTGAAACCCACTGATTTTTCCAAAGGAAGTGAGGAGAAGGCAACAGGGCCAAAATATGCACTAGGAAAAGATTACAGAAAAACAAGGGAGCAAGAGCTGATCTGAGCAAAAGAGTTGTGAGAGTATCAGTGAAGAATGTTCTATTTTATTTGAAAATGGGACGAAGCCTTCATTAAGTCACAGAGACTTGAGCTGGCATCCCCAAATTCCTATGACTCTTTATGTGCTCCAAAATTCTGTCCAGCTATTAGATCTGTTCACGTTTCCCTTAGGATGGATACACTGTTCACTTGGACCCTACTACAGGTAGAGTGGTGAGTTCAATGAGGTAGACCATCCTTACCTGTGACAGCAACCTCAAAATCAAGTAAAGAGTCATTTATGGAAAGGTAAACAGGTAATTACATGGCAATACACAGAGAAACCTATAATTATATAACCTAGCAAGTAGCTAGGACTGCAGATGACAAGGTGAAAGGGGAGGGGGATCACAGCAAACTCCTATCTGACCTCTGAAAGTGTCTACTTCTCTTCCCTGGATAGGGTGGAGTCTAGATGACTACCCATACACAGCAACATGAATACCTTCCATTTTGCATTTCTCACAGCCTACAATATGATGTATGTTGCAACTCAAATTTCAGATATAAAAGGAATGCCAGTCTCTGGTTGATAATTCTTGTCTTAATGTCCCTCTTTCTCCACCCCACCCTTTATTTTTTTTTCTCTTTATTGCCTTTACCCTCAGGATAAACTCCAATAAAAATGAAGTGGTTATGGTTTTCCAATATATAGTCATTTTAACTCTAAGCTGATAAGAAATGCCCCTTACATTGCGTTTCTAATTGCAATAACAACAACAAAACAACAAACCCAACATTATTCCAGCCCATCACAGTGAATTTTCAAGGCTAGACTGGAAAAGGGAAGAAATTATTTGGGACAGCACAGTTATAGGCGTGAGTTCCACGTGAGATCCACAAAAGATTTTAAGCACTTACCCAATTCCAGCTCCTGCATCAGGTGCCTATTCCAATATAGAATGTTCTCTTTTTTGCCACCGGAACAACTTAAATATCTAAAGTTCTGCTTCCATCCTGCAGGGCAGCACAGTGCCTTGCTCAAGTTAGGCCAACTTAGAATCTACGAACTAAGTGGTATTCTGTCTCACCAGCGCAGCTCTTCTCAAAGCCTGCCTTTGAGAAGCCAAGCCATCCTTGCCTCTGTAGGCAGATGAAGGATGAAGCTCTTCCCACCTTCCACCTAATACCTAAAAGCATAGAGCATTCTCACTGAATCTAGAATTTCTGACTTAATTTATCACACTTCCCAGAGGAATTTGAGTATATCTTCTATCTCTCAAGAGAGTAACTCCAGGTTAAAAGCTATGCTGGACTGGTCAAAAACCTGATAGTTTCAGAGATACCAGTTGTGTGGTGTTTCCCCCTGGCTTGATGAGGCTTCTAACTTAGACATGCTTTTCATACTTCCTTCCATGTATGGGACTAGGATCTTTTTCACAGCCTTAGGAAGCTTCCTCTAGGAAGCAGTTACTATAGTGGAAAGGCACCTAAAGGCACCTTGTGATGCCTCAGCTGTTTGCTAAACATAGCCTTAAACCAACACCATTCACTTCAACTTAAGTTTTTCCACTGAGATTACTGACAAGAACAGTAGACAGGAATTATGCTGCTATCAGCAGGGGGACTATAAGGAAACTCCTATTGCTATTCTATGGATGTACTTGCCTAAAGCCTTCTACAATGACACATGAGAGCAGGTTCCTTAATCCCATGACAGAATCAATTTTATGCAGCTGTAAGCCAAAAATAGAGTTGTAGGATTCAAGAAGCCTGGTGAGGCAGCTGATGTATTGTGAGAACTACTTGCTTCTTTTCTAGAAGAAGGAGGAATTCCAAAGCTCTGTCAAGAATGGACTCAATAAACCATGTTATATCTCGTCAAAGAGAGATGTTCCAAGTGACATGAACAATTAATTTTCTGATAGCCTCCCAAGTCCCTCCGCCTTTCTTTTTTTTTACTTTTTTGGCTGTCTTAGCTAGCAGAAAAAGAGAGGAATTCAGAAATGGAGAGAGTTTGATATGATTTCAGATTGACTGGGAAGATTTACATGCAAGTGACCATTTAAAATAACAATGTTTTCCAAAATGTACAGTGTTGATCTTCATACAAAACCACACAAACTATCTTTTGCAAGCAAGAAATCTTCTCAGGTTAACACAATAAAGACTGAGGTTTTATTTTTGCACTTCCTATGTCTTAATTTACTTAACTGTTCATCATAAAGACAGCCAAGGAGACAAAGCAAAGAAGTGTTCCTATACAGCAAAAAATCAGTGCTATTGCTTCCACTGCTAAGCCCTGGGACCATAAAATCATGAAATGATTCAGGCTTGGAGGCATCTCATCATCTGGCCCAACCTCCGGCTCAGAGGGTCCAAGAAAAAGGTTCTTGAACCAGCATTATTAGTGGTAGTAAATTATAACCTGTTAGTTCTCACTATGACTTTAGTGTTGATATTATGATTGTTTTATAGTTTTAATAGTTTAAGAGCTATAGAGAATGAAGCAGAGAACAAGGAGCTTTCAGCAATGACAAAGTAACTGAGAAAAATCGTCAAGGAGCAAAGAGCAGAGAGACCTAAATTCTTACCTTGCTGAGCTCAATATATTTCTTTGCTTCTCCACTTGCACAGGCTACTGATGTTTTTTTACTCAGCAAAGCTGCTTTACACCCTTTGATTTTAAGGGAATGATATGGAGGAACAAGTGATCCAGTTTGTGTCAGCTTGGACTGGAACAATTGATTGATGAGTACATTTTCACTGGCTGGGAAAAAAAGAAGAAATTAATGCATGAAGATAAAATATAGGTTAGAAAATTCTATATCTATTGTATTTGGAAGTAAAAAGACATACAGTAGGAGATAGAATTAAATAAGTAAACTTAAAACAAACCAATAAACTATTATATTATGTTAGTTATCAAAGCATTCAACATCCAAGAATGTCAGCCATCAGTAACACTATTTTTAAACACATTCAGGTCCTGTGCTGAACAAAACCAGGCAGGAAACAACACTTTCAGACTGTCATCTGTCTAAATTTAATTACTTATGTGATAACCACCTCTGAATTTTGTTCCAGTGCATACTCCCAATTTATCCATTTAAAAAAGCAATATGAGAGATGCATTCTTCACAACATTTACCTAACATGTAGTATTTAGAAATGATCAAGGCACCTGGCAGAAATAAATTATAGACACTCACTGCACCAAAGAAAAATAATTATATAAAACACAATATGGAAAGGGATGGGGAAACAAAAGACAAGGTGAAGGACAGAACTGCAGCAAGCTGGGTTCACATTTCTCTACATCAAGACCACACTTACAAACATTTACAGAAAAAAGACGATGCCATATATATGTTTGATGCAGTGGTGATAATTAGTACAAAACAAATACACTTCCAAGAGGTGTTTTTAAAAATAAAAATTCAAACTTTAAGATAGATAGGATACTTTGTACTAATTTCAGTCAAGTTATCATTTATGACATTATGGTCATGGGCTTTTTAAGATGAACATGATAATTACATGCTCTTTGTACTGCCACAGCACAAATAAGTATTAAAAACCTGTTGTGTGATATTACCCATCCTTAATTTTTATTACTTTTTTTAAGCACTAACAAACTGACATTATGATCACACTCATCATGTGAATAAAACAAATGAAAAAACAGAAAGATGAATGGAATAAGCATTATAAATAATGTCATCAAGTTTAACACAGCAAGTAGAAATCCTCAGCTTGCTCCTCCATAGCTGTCTAAAGATATATTTACTAGATGCTTAAATGCAGTAGATGTGTTTCCCTTTTTCTGTGGAGGTTACTATTCCTTACTTAACAGGAATAATGCAATTATGGGGAAGATAGTAAAGCAGATAATTGAAACAAGTTTAGCACAATCAGTGGACATAGTAAACCTCCATATTTTTAAAAGAAGGATAAATGTAATAAGTAGCATTAGGAAAGACATTAAAACTATGTCCTTCCAACTAAAACAGGTAAAACCTATGTCAGTAGTCTCTCCTGGTTTATTTGTTGGACAAGTACGCTTCACATTCCTACACATATATGCAAATTACTTTAACATTGTTAGCATATTTAAAAGTTTTGATTAAGGAAAATAAATTCAATGAAATTCAAAGGAAGCATGCACTTAAGGTATATGTCTACATAACTTATGAAAATGATCCTGAAGGAAATATGTCACTGACAATCAATACGTTTTAAGCCTGAGTCACTTAAAAAAGAAGGAACGTAGCCCTTAAACGAGTTACATGATTGTAAATTTTCTGCTTTCAGAATTTTCCCATTAATTGTAATTGTTATTATTATGACTTCTTAATTATATATACACTCACTCTCAACATATCAAACATTTTATATCCAATCCAATCCTCTGTTCCTCCCTTTTAACAGTTGCATAGCTGATTACACACAATAGCAAAGAAAGTACAAAAAGAGACTACATGAAAGAATGGAAGAATGCTCTCTCTTGTAGAACATGCTGGAAGTTTCCACACCTTCTTATACTCTTTGGCAGTTTATCATGTGAATTCCAAGTGGCGAGAACTGGGATGGCTCTAAAACTATAATCAATATGATTATATTCAAGATCAATTCTTCCATTTCTTTCTTCATCCTTAACGTACACTCTTTGACTTTAAAATACATCAATTATATTGCTAGGGCGTTTAGCTAATTTCACAGCAAAATTGTTAAAAACCCAATACATTGTAACAGCAGGGCTGATTTGGAAGACAAATATGACCTTCAAAAGACCTCTATTTCTATAGGAAGAAATATAAGTATATAATATATTAAGTTAATATATTCAACTACTCTGCAATAGTTGGAGAAAAGAAAAATAACTTCTCAGGACACACTGACATTTCCCTGCGGAAAATGTTTTGGTTTTCTTCACAGAAAGGGTAAATGATAGAGGTTTTAAATAATCTAATTATGAATCATTAATTAATAAACCGGGATGCTTTATTATTAGACATAATTATATCATATGCACATGGAAAGGTATTTAATTTTGTATTTCAATGGACATTTGTATCTATTCACTGAAAAACATAAGAACTCCCACAAGTTCCTACTTTTAGAAAGATACTCAAGCAGTGAAGCACATCCTACTGCAGTCTCTATGATTTTGGGAGCCTTGTTTATACTTTCCCTATTTGTGGGGCTTATTTTTGTTTTAATTAATACTCAATAATTTCTTTAAGTCATACTCATCTATCACACTATACCTTCTTGTTCTTTATATCACATCACGTGAAGATGCTTTATGTTCATGAACTCTAAAAGTTTTCTAAATTAGAGCAAATTTCAAACAATGTGTACATACTTCAAAAAGATGAGGGTGATCTTTTTTACTGTAAATAAAATACACAAAAATTACTCTTAAAACTAAAACGAAAATTAAAGTCAAGTCATAATGTCTTAATTTCTAACAACAACAACAGGAACCACAAAACCATTTACTTACTTTTCATTACAAATATCAGATTTTGTGAAAGGGTATCTTTATTTTTTTCTATCGCACCAGCAATTTCATAAGTAACCTATAATAAAATATTGTGACATCATTAGTAATGACCGATGCATCTTTTAAAATCTTGCAGCAGTAGAAATGAACCTGTGTTTTTTTCCACTCAACAGCTACAGGTTGGCATGAGGTAGTGTCTTTTTCCTTACATAGTGCAACAATATTAACCAGAAGAACTGGTGGTAGAACATTGTGTATCTCTGTAAGTATACAGAAATTTCATCAGACTGATTCTAAAACATTTCCACAATGCAATAGTTTGAAACAAAAGTGTAGTGTAGAGCAGAAGACAGTGACCTAAATATCACTTTCACTGTAGGATGAGTGAGTTGCTCCCAGATCACAAATCTCCTTGTGAACCAGAAACTGTCCACACTGACCATGACAACTCTCATGGAGCAATCTGAGTCCCAGCTCATACTCAAGACAAGTTACAGATATTTATATGTCCTTTGAAGGCAAGTTCAGTCTATAGGTTTAGGTTATGTACAAATCCCATTTACCTTTCCAACAACTATGCACATACGGATTTTGGACCACCTTAGTTGACTGATGTCGCAATTTCAAGAGCAGACAGTTGGAGTGTCATTCCATCTGTTGTCTGACTGCAGATAAACTCTAATACATGTGGTGGGCACTCTGAGAAGTGAGCAAAACTCAAGGCTCTAGCCAGAGTTCCTGAGGGTACATCCAAAATGAAGAAATATGACTGAGTGGCAGTTTTAACATTGAGCCCATTCCAGGAGACACTGTATAGAAAAGCAACACTATGACCAAAAAGCAGTCACTGAGCCCAGGTTGAGGGTTTTTTTTTTTTTTTTTTTACTTTTTATGGGGTTGAAAGACAAACAACTAATTAATTTACAGGCTTTAGAAATAAACAGCTCTAGCTTGCACGGTAGTAGAACTCAAAAGGAAATTTTAAGTCAAAAGGAAGAAAATTATACATTGTAGAAGTTCCAGGATTAGGCAGACACTTCTTAGGGACCTTCTTAGAATACAGTTTGGTTTTATTTACCTTGGGACCATGTTTATACCTAAAGCCTTTTTTAAATTTTTTATTGGATCTGTATCCTAAGCCTTTTAGATAGTTGGGGAAATTTTATCCTTGTATATTTAATAAAGCTGTAAATATATAATTAAGATTAATATTACTAAGTAGTGCATTAATTCTGTTTTCCATTGGGTCATTTGACAGTTATGTAATGCTATCTTACTCACAAAAGAGATTATATGACTTGGATGTGTATAATCTGTTATAGTTAGTAATTGTCAAATGATGTAATTAGTATGGCATCTGACATAGAAAAGGTATAACAATAGAATTACATTCTTTTCCATGACAGATGCAATGTTACTTAATTTTCTAATTGCATTTCCTAAAAACATACAACATAGTTAGCAAACTATTAGAATAATTTAAGTATACTGTTAAATGCTTTTAGTGTACTTAAAGTAAATGTTCCACTATACTGGTCCATAAAAGATAATTAACAGAACTTGTTTGACAAATCCATAATGCCAGTTCCTAATTGAGTGTCTTAGACTTTGAGTAAACTAAAAGACAGTATTGGTGGGAAGAGTAGGTAAGTATAGCAGTGGGAGATACTATATTATGATTAAGTGCCTAGATTGAAACAGGGAGAAGTTTCAGTACTGGTGTTGGTATAATACATCATGAACTTCCAGAACTATATTCATAAGACATCTCTCATATCACATAAAATAGATAAAAAGTTAGCAGCATTCCCTTTTATGAAGAAATTGCTAACTCTCTAACAGTTTTACCGTAGACTTGGTAAATTAATTCATTGCCTGAAGACATGAAAACTGACTCAGTGAAATGGCACTCGAGGGGTCCATATTCATTGTCAGTCCCACAAAAGAGAAAAAGAATGAAGTTCTCTTCAATTTTGTTAATTTAATCCTGCTCTCATCAGAGATGCCAATTTACATAGCGCTTTGCCTAAAGCACATATATTTCCCCCTGTTTTGTTCCGTTGGGTTTCTAAAGTAAATCTGGCCAAAACTCTGCACTGATTGGCACTCAAGCACAGCGGATAGCTATTCTGAGGAGACAAAATTCAAACAAATCTTGTATGATTCAGACAGGAAATGTACATTCGCTTAGATCATGGTTCCAGTATTCTAAAACATAGTCCTTATTCTCACTTGTATTTATTGCAGCTGTTTGCTCTGTCTTGTTTTACATGATGAACTCTTTGGGGTAGACAGTATGTAAACCTATGTGTCTGTGTTAACCAAAGGAAACAAGATCTTTAGATACTATCTGAACTGGTTGAACGATTTTTATTAAAAAAAAAAAGAGTATGCAATTCTACACCACATTTTATTTCATTAAAACAGGTTAAAACAAGAAAGGGATTGGATTTGCTTGCCGTCTTGATTTAAGTTCAGAAAGGAAGAGAGCTTAATCTAAGCATAGCGATAGTGGGGCAGGCCAAATTTTCATCTAGTACTGGATATTTAGGGGAAAATATTGAGGAATACTTGCACTCTGCCTCCTACCAGTTCCCCTCTCAGCTTCCAGGGCCCTGCCCATGAGGGAGCTTTTGACCTGCAGGCTGTATCTCATCTTTGTGTTTAATATCTTCTGACTGAGGTTTCTTCTGCGAGTCTCTGCTTCCAGAACTCATTAACATTTTCAGCATCTATAGCACTCTGTGGCAAGGAGTTTCATTACTTACTAGCTATGCAAAAAGATACTTAATTCTATTTGTTTTGAACCTGCCTCTGGCTTCATTAGTGGGCATGCTGGTCTTGGTTGACAGTTGGACTTGATGATCTGAGAGATCTTTTCCAACCTTAATGATTCTACAATTCTATCATTAATTATCTTCATGCCACTCTACTGTACATCTTCTCTTCTGAACTAAAGTATGCCCCCCTCATAAAATCTGATTTTGGTGAGGGATCTTACTTAAGTTTATTTGATTTCCCAACATACTTTGTCAACAGGTCCACCTTTACACATAGTTTTCATCAATTCCTTCAAAGACTCTTTTTTGTAAATAGTTTTCATATCTTGTGATAAGCCAAAAGCACTCATGGTTAATGACAGATTGAGCAGGAACCCTAAAACAAGCTAGGAAAATGCCACCCGGAATGCTAAGGTTGATTTGGCTGCATTCACAATTAAAAGGGAAAATTTTACTATTTTAATAACAAAATGTAACTCAGAAACTCAGAGCTTTGCATGTGTTGTTAAATTTAGTTAATAAGAAAATAATCAGTTTATACAGTTAAAAGAGAAATTTTTAAGAACATGTCCAAGGACAATTTCAGAGGGTCACTTGTAGTTGTTAATTTTCTGCCAGTACTTAAACGTGAGTGATATAATTTAAACGCTTGAATGTACCATTTTTTTAGGATCTCACCCTCCCAAAACAAGTCTTGTTAAGCAATGACTGAAGTAAATAATTTTATATAGTCTGTAAAGTCTTATTCTAACACTGTGATAGAAATAGTAGCATATTGAAACCAGCAGATATTTAGAAACAAAATAGGTGGAAGTGTTCTATTATTTTCTCCTGTAAGTGAAAGTCTAAAATTAAGTCTACTTAAAGAAAGAAAGAGAGAAAGAAAGGGAGAAAAAGCATGACTTTCTTGTCTGCGTGCAAAAGAGAATCTTTGTCAAGTAACCTTTATAGGCCTTGGTATAGCTTAGATTAGACTGATTTGATTGTTTCGTCTGGGGATTCAGCCTGCAGAAAAAATAGAGAAAATGAAAGCATCCTTATTGATTAATCCATCTCCTTTTGTCTTTTGATTTAGAGGTTCTGTTTCAGAGTCTGCCTGGGATATACAAGGCATTTCAGAGAAGACTGTCTTCGTGAAGGTGAGCTGACAGCTGAGAGGTATTTTTGAAATGCACATAGCTGAGAAATGGAACAGACATTGATCTGCACTTAAAGTACATTATGTGCCCTGCTTTATAGAGCAAAGAAGTTGGTCTTTAGGTCTGGTCACTTTATTACAGTATTATAAGTCAAAACAGTGGCAAGGGGCCTATCTGATTTGTAAATTGAAGTATAAATTTAAACTGCAGAAAGCTTAAATTATTATGACCTATTATTCAGATTACATGAACAATGGGGCAAATAGCTTATTATCTTGAACACCAGTATGTTAAATATCACTATTAGGTAAAGCTGTGTCTTTTGGCATTGTGCTAAGACAATATATTTCTGATTTACTTATTGATATGTTAATTCTTCTGTAAAATTAAAAAAAAGAACTCTGAGTCCTTGAAAAAGTTTGGTGATGGAATGTTATTCTTCAAAAATCAAGACTATCAGTACAGCTGACAGTTCAGAGATTCATGTGAATTCATATGAATTCAGAATTCGTGTGAAGCTCTTCATTATGTGAGAGCCCACAATGTAAATATTAATGTTATCAATAAAAGTACCTAGAAATTCAATATTACACATTCTGAGCATAGTTTCAGCTGATGGACGGATGCGTTGATCAACTGCACCCATAAAACACTTCGCTGCCTCAAGGCAAGCTTGCAGCGTGCGGCGTGGGACCGGCGTGCCTCCCCTCTCCCAGGGCTGCCAGGCTGGCAGTCTCCGCGAGAAGCAGCTGAGAATACCCACACTCATGTTAGGCATCAGAAACAAAGCGATGCCCCAGATGAGTAGAATTTTTCCAGAAGAGATCAGACTGCCAGTGTTCAGGGAAATGTGTTAAGCAACCTTCAGATAAAGCCTTCCACTAGGATTATTTTTTTTTTCACACAAAACCTAAATCATTCTTTTCTACCTTCTGCCTGAACAGAACAGATAAGCTTTTTGTCTTATAGCACTCAGATACCAAGACATTAAATAGCTCTTAGAAGAGACTCATAATGTGTCAAGGCATTGTAGGATTCTGTTCAGCTGCAAAATTAAAACTGGGAGATAAAGTAAAATACTTGATATGATTAAGTACTAATGTTCACAGTGGCCTTTGCTAAGCATGTGTTCATGTAGTTAACAACTGTATCATATTGCTCATGCAGAAAAAGACAGATTTAACGTTGTGCAGGCATAATAGTAAAATTCAAGAGAAATGAAGAAAAAGTTGTTTTCTTTCTTCCACGGGATCACTCTGTCACATTTATGTAAGACAATGTTCTCTCTCAGCTTCCACTGAAAAATCTCACCACTGTGTTGATTTCTTTTATGTGCAGAAGCTTACTTGTGCATATTGTTTTCTTCTTTTATTCCACTTTCTTCATTCCAAAACAGTAAAGAAAATAAGAAAAAATCAAAGGTCTCTCAGAATGATATCATACATATACATTTTCTTAAAGCTTCCGACAGAAAATCAAGTATGGATTCCAAATTCTTTGAGGTTTTTTTCCTTACATGTTACTCTGAGGCTCTTCTCATATGCCTTCTTCATCTCACTTCGACCTCACGCTTTCTTTTTTTCAATTCTGACCCATTGTTTCTTCTCTTTTTCTCTCAGTACTGCTTTTTCTGGAATGGTTTAAGGCTTATTAGGCTTGGATCAATAGTATGGCATGTGTAGTCCTAGGAAAAGCTATTAAGCATAAAACATAAAGGAATGGGCGATACCTGACAACGCATGACTACAATTAATCAACAAGACTTGGTAGTGGAAGAAAAGATAATTTTCCTATGGGTATCCCGACACAAAATGTTAAGATATGAACATGTTGGAGGTCTTTAAAACTGCATGGACACATCTATATCAGCTGTCAATCTCTCATAATATAAAGCTAGAGATACCAGATTTGTTCACAAAAGGTTGTCTGTCAATCTCAGTTGAATATATACAAAAGTAGAGCTCTTTGGTGAGGCAGTATTTTTAATAGCTGCATTTTCCAGTATAACTGCATTTATGAGTTTTTAAAATAGCTACTGTAAGTGTTTGAGTAAAGATATGAACCCAGTTCTTTCCGGACTTCAAGCTATGTCCGTAAACTACTGATGAAAAGAAGCCCAAATCACAAGGGTCCAGATGAGATTCATACCAGGGCCGACACAGGATATAATCTCTTTTTTTGCTCTAGATGACTCGCAGTAGCAGCTGTTTCACATCGGCTATGAGCTCCACTGCAGTTACAACTTTTGTTACCTAGAGAAATCAGGACGTCTGCCTTCACCTTCTAACACAGAGCCTGCATTCAGTGTGACTTCCTCCACAAACACCAGCCTAGACACATCACCCAAATATAAACGATTAAGCCTAGAAGTGAACAATTTCATGTTCAATTACCTGTCACATTTTACCGGTAATTTTTCTTCTGCCCTCTGGGTCTGATTCGTCTTTCAGTTATACTCATGTAAATAATGAGAAGCTTTGCCAAGTTAAAGGAGTTACGATTAGTGAGAAATTGTGGTAAGCGAGGATAAAATCAAGCCCCCTTGTTTTAAATTTGAGGATCTCTGAAGGTAACAACACAGAGAAGGATTGCTTTATACTTCACTTACTTTAAACTTATTTAATTGATATCAGACTATAAAAATGTCTCTCAAAAACCTGCCAAACTATACTGTTACTTTATATATGAAATTCTTATTTCTGAGTGCTAATAAAACCTGATATATTTAAAAGCCTGGTCCTTTAGCAATTTTCATAAGGTATAAATCACAAATGACTTCTGTGAAAAGCTACTAAATGTGGTAATAGCACAATCTAAAGAACAGCATCAGCAGTTTTAAAATCCTAGTTTTTCATATTCAACTTATCAACTCATGAAGACATACTAGTCTCAGAATAAACTAAATTTGTGTCATTATTTAGTACAGTAATGCTATAATCAGATTTTATGTAAATACATATCATAAATCACTGGTAATTTCAGTCTATGATAGCTAGATAACAGTTTCATGAGATATCAAAAATGCAGGTGTCCTTAAGGATTTTGCTCAATCAGTATTAAATTAAGGAGAGGTAAGCACTTGCATGGGAACTTTTCTCTTTTGGCAGGGCCAAGCATTTTACTGTTGTAAGGATGCGAAGAACAATCTGACTGTCTGGAATAGTTCCGTGGCCAATATAAATCACAGGATTTCCATTGACTTCAAAAGAATGTGTGAATTTACATTACGTGGAGAGCTGTCTATTTGTTCATACTTTTAGATTAAATGTCATTACTATTATTAGGAAAAGGTCAAACTAAGTGTCTATGTTATAAAAAAAATAAATCTGAACAACCATGCAAGGCTAAAACACGTTAAGGAGAAGTGTGCTCCTTACCACTCACAGCTTAACTTTCAGAACTAGGCACCTGAGACTTCGCAAGTCTTCCTACTGAGTGCTTCTTTGGAGAATAAGACAAACATTTTTTTCATTTTGAAGAAATGTGCTTATTATTCTGTCTGTGGTTTTAATGCAGCTGTCTTTCCACGTCGGTTTTTTGGTGTGTGGAACCTTTTAGACCTATTGTGATGAATTTTTATAATCACAACAGAAATCCAGGAAAAACTATTTACCTAACAAGTATAGAACAGATTTATAAATGCAATTAAACATCTGGAGTCCACGGTCAGTTCTTAACTCTGTCACTTTGAGTGCTATTAAGTTTCACAAAATCTTTGTTGTGTATTCCTACTGAAAAGTCCCAACAGTGGAGGTACTCAAACCACTTACTTAACTTTGGCAAATAATTTGAGTCTAAGTAGGCGGCCTTATGATGAAAGATGAGCCTCCAGGGAGTTATTCAGAGTATTTAGGTTAGGAATTTAAGCACTGCCCAAATAGCCTTAATCCTTTCCATAATGACCACATTTCTATCATTGGGCAGGAACAAATTTGCCTGCGTCAGAACACTACTCAACACTTCCATCAACTTCATTTCCAAATGAGGAGCCACAAAATAGACCTTCCCCATTTATATTGCTGTAAAGGACCCTAATCTGGTTAAAGAAGCTTAAGCGTGCACATTCCAACCTCTCATCTGTTCTGGAGAGCTCAGGGCATATAACGTTACCTTGAGATATGACAGTCAGCAAGTCTTTTTTTGGTGATGGAGACAAGCCTTGAACACACCTCGTAAGAGTACCCATTACCAATAGTCAACTGACTGGATGTTCAAGAGCATAAATCGATTTTACCTAAAATATTCACCATAGCAGAAAGTGTGTCATCTAGTACCTTTAGCAGCACGGATTAGAGATATTTTTCTGGTGTTCTTACCCTGGCAAGCACATAGAACTCCTTTCTGAATGTAAACTGATTTTCTTTAGCAGCATACCACATAAACCCCCTGCATTTGCTACTCAGAAAGTCTTGTGAGGGAAGGTTGCTCTAATTATCTCTCACAATAAGCAGCAGCAAAGCTATTACATTTGTTTTAGGACTGTAATACGCATTCTAAACAACAGACGCTATCATAGCTGCCCAATTTCTTGCTCATTGAACTCTTCTCTTCTGGCTGTTGCTTAGGTAAAGAGAGGAGCGTCCAGGTGTCAGTTGTCTCGTTATACTGAAGCACCTGCAGTTTCCACGTGTCTCCCATGGAGGATTCTGAAGTGATTAGGTAGGTATCATGTGCTGCCACTAAATCTGAAAAAGCCAGGTTCTGCCTGGCAGTGGGCTTTACTGAGCTCTCAGGTGTAAAGTAACCTACTGCATAAAGTCATCAACTAATAACACTTACATTTATATTTATAAAAAATACTGTGCATATGATCACGATGCAGTGGTTCCGAGGCACAGTAGCTAAGCAGTTTCTAAACGTGCTATGCACAAATCTTTTATGGAACTCCATCGGTGGATGGATAGTTCACGGGATCATCTGCAGAAGACTTAGAAATTGTGAAAGGACACAGAACAAGTTGTTCAGATGTAAAGACTGATTCCTGCGACCTTCAGTCTATGTTCTTACCGATTTCAATGGAAATTTTGGAAAAGTGATAAATAAGAGCCTCCATTGTATTGTGCCCATACAATCTACATTCGTTAGCTCATTTCAAATACCGTGCTTTGAACAGAGAAAAGTGGCAGCATGTCAGATTAACCAGAGGGACCAATCTGTCAGATTATCTAAAAAAAGTATTATTATGGCTTTGGCTTGTGCGTGGTTGTGGACACAATGTGAAAATAAGGGAATATTGGAAAGAAAAAGGTAAGAGGCCTATTTAACAGAACTGATTGATAACATTTTTCCCATGAACATTGCAGGAGGTGAAATGTGAAACATTCATCCTGTTTTGCAGCCATATTTAGAGACACTTAAAATGTTCTGGGATTTAGAAGAAAAAAAGGAAAAAAAAATTAATTACGATTACTAACACAACAACTTTTTTTTTTACCAGATGCATGCTGGTATCCAAGGTATCTACATATGTGGCACAGGACCTTCAGGGAACCTATAATGCTGAGGTATCTGAATCACCCCCTTCTTCACAAAGTGCTTACAATGAAGATGCTATTTAGGAGACAGAACCCTGCACAATATGATACAAAGTACAGGTTTTATACACTAGATATCGTATTGAGATTGTAAGCTGTCCTCTGAAAATTCATCACTAGAAAGTGAATTGTTATTTATAGGAGATAGTTGGAATAGCCATGCAGAATTGCGTTTTGTTTACTCTTTTTCATTGACTATGTGTAACCAATCATTCAAACAACTTACCCTCCCAGCATAATGCATGACAGTGAAGGTGGAGCCCTGATCTTTTGGAGCAAGGTTCCCATTTCCATCTTTTGTGGAGGAATATACTGTATTTGTGTCTGATGTATCCAGGTAAGACTGAATGCGTTTAGAAAGACTCTGTTCCACTGACCAAATAGATTGGCTTTCTTCATCCAGCATTGACAAAAAGCCTAATGGTTTCTGAAATGAAAAATAGATTTTTCTCATTTTATAGAGGAGCAATATAATTTCATCTGCTCCTTGCAGAGTAACACAGCTTGCAATTTAGCAAACAGAAACATGTGTCACCTCAAAGGAAAAAATGTTTAAAGTGTTCTGGTAAGTCTCCAAGGCTATGCACATCAGATAATCCTGCAAGAAACGTAAGGAATAATATTTCAGTTGCCAAAAATGGTAACTATTGATGATCTTTTAGGAAACAGATTAGGCTACTTCCTTAGAAGTTATACTCCAGAAAGTAGCTTCAGGCACAAAAGAAACTGTCAGGCTTACAACAGAGACTCGTCAGTCCTACAGCTGCATTAATGGCAGGGCATGATACACAGATGCGACACGTGAATCAGTACAGACAAGGAGTTTCTGTTCCATCTTCTGCAAGCCTGTTAGAAGGCTCTGTTAGCCCTCGAGCTACAAGGGCAGTTAGGACAGCCCACTCTGTGGTCTCTTTGGACCCATAACCTTCTCTACAGATTCATAAATCAGCAAATGCGGGCAAAAGTTTGTATTAGTCTAACATGCAGAGGCTCCGTATAAATATACATAGTGTAAAATGGATCTGAAAACTACCTGAAAGAAAAAATCCAAGGCTGCAGTATGGTTACCAGGAGAATACACTGTTTCCATGGCAACTCCCTCTTGTACACATTCTGCTTGCTCTTGTAGGAAAAGCACTTCATTGATGTACTGGTGTATCTTCTCATTGGTCATGTTGACACACAGCTATCGTGAAAGGAAGAAAAATTAGTATTAGAAGTTTACTGGATAATTCATCGGTGTAGGTTTTACTGCACGTCTAATATTGAATTTGATGAAATGTCAATCCACAATATGTTCTCTCTCGGCAGACCATAGATTAGCAAGACCCTAGGGAAATTTACATTTTAACAGCTATTAGTATTAAATTGGGAATAAACAGTTCTCCGTCTGCACAGTCCGTTGTGAATTCCATGTAAGAATTATCAAATACCAGCTTTATCAAATGTAGTGCAAATTTACACTAATTCTATTGATCGAAGTGGGGTAACGCTATGTATAAATTGATACACTTAATATGCTTCTGCAGTTTATATTCAGGAAGACTACAGAGATGCAATGTGTTTTTAATAAAAATAACTGCATATTTGGTTAGGATCCTGACTCTGTAGTTAGTTCAATGGTAACAAAGACATTCAAACTCCTCTTCAACATATAATGTCACTGAGGTCTAAAGCAGTCTCTGAAGAATTCATTGTGCTTTGCCCAAATATATGTCACAAACACCTAGGGACATTTTACCAGACGCTTCTCTCCATTTTATTGATATTTGAAGGGAAGTTTGTTAGGAAAACGGTCTTCAGTAGAAAAGTTCAAAGTTTGGAGAGGTAAATAATATAAAAGCCACTCAAATATTGTCTTTAATTGCCTTGTAAGACATGTAGTGCCACTTTTGCAAAATAAATAGTTTAAAAGGGATTTCATTTTCAATTAAAAACAGGTGGGAGTTGTATCATCTTACTTTGGAACCTTACATATTTTATTCAAAGCTCACAATCTGCAAAAAAAGTAAATATTTAATAACTTTGTGGAATAAGTGTTTTAACTGTTTTATTTATATTAAAGTGGAAATTTTAGTAAAAATTTCTAAAATCTCCTCCAATGCTATGCTAACTATCACTAAGAAATTAAGAAAACAGAAACTCCTAAAAGGATCAAAGAACCCTTTATAAGAGGAATGATGCAAAAATGCTTGCTTGCAGTCTATTTTTAGACTAAACTAGTCACATATTTATTTTGGCCATAAACTACATCCACCATGAATAAAGTATATAAAAGTAATTCCACCAGCAAATTATATTAAAAAATATGAAATTTTTAGATCAGTCCTAAACAGTACACGGCTTAACATTCAGATGAGGGAAAAGAACTCAAGTAATGTGTAATAGCTGCCTGAATTTTCCATTAACACCTCATGCTAGTATAGTCGACTTGCACTGGCTGTACAATGAAACAGACTGGTGTGAATAACAGTAGGGAGAAATAAAACAAAACCCCTTTTTTATAACCAAATATCTGTTATTAACTGTCTTTACCAATGCATGATAGTGCAGACAAAAGACAATCTTGAATAAAACCACTATTTTTTAAAAGTGGGATTTCTAAAGATTCAGATTGTTATCTCATTTTATTAACAATGAAAGTACACAATTGACTTATCTACTACTATCTAATTATTTTATGGAAAAAGTCAGCTTTTTTAACTTTGTCACAGGCAAAATACGCTTTACTGATAGCTCTTCAAAATCTAATTCTAATTACAAATTCTTTTCAGAGCTTCTAAACATTATTTCAGAAGGCAGACATAACATTTCAAGCTTATACTTCACAGAATATGTAGAGCCCTAAAATGATGCATGCTGTGTATATCTTTATTTGCGAATTACTCATTTAGAGAACCACATCATTTAACTTTACACAAGTATATTTTACTATAAAAGACAAAATCACTACAAACTCATTTACTTTTTATTACGTGAGGATCTCCTAAAATACATAAAACCTATTAATGTACTTGAGGACCTGACTACGCAGCAAAATTATGAAACTACACAATTCAAGACGAACAGAAAGACTGTCTTAGTCATATCTTAAAAAGATCTGATTAATAACATCGATTTTAACTGCCAAAAGCAAAAGGCATAGTATTTTGTTAAAATATTCCTACATAACACTTTGGGCTGTGAAAGAAAAAGGACCCACATTTATAAATTGCCAGCATATTACGGCATACGCTGGCGCCCTGTTTAGTAACACAAGCAAATACCATGGTTGAGGCTGGCAGACTTGCCGTAACGACAGCAAGGTTCTGCAAACGGGACCAGAACGCGAGCTCAAGCGCCTACACAAGCGGCGGGTTCTAGCAGTGGCTGTGAGCAACAGCTCTGCAGAATGAGAACCAGGGGACCAGCCCGGGTCTGCTGAAAATCAAGACATTCTGATCATATCTTTCTCCATTTTAATGTTTTATACAACCTGCTGGGAAAAGGTAATAAAATGAATGTTTCCCATGAAAAGCTTGACACAGGTTGACGTAACAGTTAAAACAGCTGAAGTGTAGAAATCGGATGAAAATGAACTAAACTAGCTTTGCTAATCCAACTTCTTTTGCTCCATGTCATATGAAGTCCTATATAAAACAATGACATATTTTCTGTCCAGAAATATGAGAAGTTCAGAAAACTACATTTTTTAAACAGGTATTTAATTGCACCATGAAAATTAGATGGAAATGTAGTAGTAATAAAAGTAAACACAATGAAATTTTTACCTAAAACAAATGTTGTGGGAATAACGTTAAGCATTGTATATTGATTTACCTTGCAGCATTAGTCAACATAATCTATGGTACTTTTTGTCACTGAACACTGTTAAAGTTCTTCACATGCCTCTTACTGGCTCCATTGTATATCTCTTCTGTAAGAAATCCTCTTTTCTGTCTGTCTTCCTTTCTAATCCTAACTCATTATCATGTTTCAGTGAAAACAAGTACACCATCTATTTGCCTAAGTCTTCATTAAAAAGTACCTCTAGAATATTATCAGAAGAAAAAAAAATAATTTCTTGTTCAAGCATTTAAACAAACAATTTGAAATATTATCCATATTATACAATTTGGAAAATAATATAGCGACATTTGGTAAAAGCAGTTAAGTATTCATCACATTAGACAGCGTTAGCTTGATCTCCCTTTTTTCACTACCTTTGACCAGTTAGTACCATTAATTACACTACAAATTCAAATTTAGGTAGAAGATCAAAATTGTACTGTGCTCCGAAGACAGAAAAGCACTTATGACTAATGAAATTTTCCTGCTCTTCACTTTTTATAAATAGCTATTTGAAAAGGCACAGCCAAAAAAAAAAAGGGAATTTGTGGAAAGAAAACTTGGTGACTGTCAATCAGTGAGGGACGATGGATGTAAACACCCTTTGGAAATCTCATTTACATGCTTTGGTCATGCAGAAGGATTAGCTCTCTCAAGGGATGCGTATTCAGAGCATGGAGTGCTTACAGCTGTCATATCAACACATCTATCAAGTTCTATGTTATTGGCCAAGATGGTGAAGCTACGATGCCAAGTTTAATTTGCAAGAATGTGCTCTAGCATTTCTCAAAAATGTAATTCTAAGATAGTGGAAGGCAGAATCATCTTCTATTTACTGAGATTGGACTCCAAAAATATTTTTAAACCTAAGGTTGATAATAACTTATTTCTCAGAACTATCTTGATCAATGTTCCCCCTTGTATCTGCTACCCAAACACTTCCACATCCTTCTTTTTATGTAAACTACCAATCAAAACCTGGCTCTTGCTGCTCCACAACAAGGATTATTAAATCCTTGCTGTGCATGGAGGCTAGCAAAGGTCTGACCTAAAAATATCACGTCATTTTTCCTTGTTAAAGGCTGAATTAAGATAGTAAAGCACTATCCCTCATCCTGTGGGGAATAAGGAACACCTCAGCACTGGGAACTGCAGTGGGAAGTTCTGCATTCAAGTCCCCGTGTGGTATCAGAGCTCAGTATGCACCAGCAGCCACCTATTCCACAGGTTAGTACAGAGGCAAGCAGGACCATCCGTCTGTGCTCTGGACAGGCAAAACCAAGAAAGTCTGACTTCTTCTGCATAAAATAAAATATTGGAATGCTCCTTCAGACTGTCCGAATGTAAAAACTTGAGTGCATGACCTTGTGCTATCACCGAGACTGCAATGACTGTAGAAAAGTCATGTAACTTTTACCTATTCGCACCCATCTATCTACAAAATACGCAACATGAGCTTACATTTGGATAGCTAGAAACAGTCTCATGGATGAGGCAATGCAATTTAATATAAAAATATTCTGTTATGGCTCTTTTAGCTAGGAAAGGTCACATGACAAAATTAAATGAAATCTCATCAGGATTAACTGATGAAATAAAATGCTGAGAAGTTAAAACCTACCACTCCTAATAATAAATACAGGTGAAAATTCCTGTGGACACCTCTGGGTTGTATGAGCCCTTCTGCTTCACTGTAGTGACTCTGAAGTGAAGTCCTGAGTGGGGCAGGCAATGCTTTGTGCTCTTGGAGCCAGCTGGCTCCTATCGCAAGAGACGTGCTGCACAGAGCTGCCACAGGAGCCATCCCTCTCCCAGCGCTCTACTGCATCGCAAAGATAATGCTGCACATATACTTTAATGGGTATAGAGTTGAATGGGAGTCAAGAGATACTTGACTGTTTCCATGATCTGCAGTCCTAATTCCAATAAATTACTTATATTTCCCATGAAAAGGAGGATATATATATATCATAGTATCACAGAATGGTTTGGGTTGGAAGGGACCTTTATGATCATCTAGTTCCAAACCCCTTGCCGTGGGCAGGGACGTATTTCACTAAACCAAGTTGCTCAAAGCCCCATCCAACCTGGCCTTGAACACTTCCAGGGATGCGGCATCCACAGCTCCTCTGGGCAACCTGTTCCAGTGCCTCACCATCATCACTGTGAAAATTTCTTCTGTATATCTAAACTAAACCTATCTATCTTCTTTCAGTTTAAAGCCATTACCCCTTGCCCTGTCATGACATGCCCTTGCAAAAAGTCCCTCTCCAGCTTTCTTGTAGGCCCCCTTCAGGTATTGGAAGGCTGCTATAAGGCCTCCCAGAAGCCTTCTCTTCTCCAGATTGAACAACCCTCTTGGCCTTTCTTTGTAGGAGAAGTGTTGCAGCCCTCTGATCATCTCTGTGGCCCTCCTCTGGCCTTGTTCCAACAGGTCCATGTCCTTCTTATGCTGAGGACCCCGGAGCTGAATGCAGTACTCCCGTTGGAGTCTCACAAGAGCAGGGTAGAGGGGGAGTATCACCTACTTTCTTCTGCAAAACTTAAGACGTCTACAGAGGCAAAATACCATGCAAGTGTTAAACATGTTGTTTAGCATGAGCTAAATATTTTTTCAGTTTACCACTTGAATTAGACATCAGAGAGAAAAGATTACTATAGCCCGTTTTATTTAACTGCATTATTGCTCTTTATGATACTTCCACAGCTGCAGACCTCCATTTCCATAGAAAGAGCTGACTTACTGCAGGGGGAAGAAAAGCTACTCTTGCTGCTCTGAGGTCTGGTTCTGCTGCTATAATAAAGTTTTCTTAGAAACAATTAGTGGAAAATGATACAGGCAACTTCATCAGCCTTCCCTCCTCCTTATTGCTTGTTATGTTCATTTGCTCTGAGTTCTTTCCATTTGTGCTGCATGCTTTTGTGGTCAAAGAATATCCTAGCATACAGAAGATAGCAGCATAAACTTTTAAAGACATATCAGCATTCCTTGACTGCACTATTTGGAGATGTGCTGTGAAGGAACCATGAATAAGATCTAACCTAGCTTTAAATAACTACAGTCCCTCTCAAACAAGCAAACCTAAGAAAACCTTGAAAACTAACGTTGAAAACTGCCATTGCTATTTTTGGTGGAGCACTCATATTTCCTGAAATGATCACAAAATGAAGGCCATTTCTGTGCAGAACAGGACAGACAAATCTGCTCACTTCTGACCATGTTCCAGTGTGGCTGTAGCTGTTCTGGCACAGCAGGTATGCAGCTGCTCTAGGAAAATTCTGTTCCCAAGCTAATGATCACTGCTAGGAAGTGATTGTAAATTGTAATTGGGGTGAGCTAAAAGTGTACTGTAGTCGTTTACCATAGCTCAGCTGATGAGCAGTAACTCACTGACTCCCTCAGACTGTGGCTTCTTAAAAACACTGTCCTTTCTCTTTCAGCTTTTAAATTTCATACCAAAATTCACAACTTCACTCACTAACACTTATTCCATACACTTATTTACTGCTATTTTAGAATTTAGAACTTAGAATTACATGTCCTATTTTTGCTTTTATAAATATAGTGTTGCACACATATGTTCTATAAAATGAAGACTTACCAATGCTCACTAAGTACAAGGAAAACCGAGCACGTAATTAACACCGTTTTTAAATTCTAATGTTTTCTTCTTTATAATTGTCTGTGCAACTTTTCTCCTTGCAAGTTGTCAGTCACATCATCTTGCCTGCAGAAGTTACCACATTCTTGGTGTAGCCATAATTAACCTTACTTTTCTAGTTCTGTGACATCTATTGTCCTAGGCATTGCCCATGAACCGTTCCTAGACCAATTCTTTGTTTGCCTTTGACAGTTCAATTATCTAATGCCTTGTCATTACAACACACTCACTGGAGTGAAGAAGTTATTCTACCTGTTTTATCCAGCTCTCTCTTCCCGACCCGTCTTCAAACTCAGTCTATTAAAATGAATTGCTTAAATTGACATGTGATTTAGTATCATATTGCTCTCTTAATTATGATATTAAACTGTCTATCAACTGACCTGATCTGAGGCACCAGAAAGATTCACGCAGCTGCTTGGAATGTCTCCAGATTTGGGCAATCCGGAGGTTTTAAACTTCCTTGAAAACTGTTGTAATTTTTTTCAAGAAAGCAGGCAAACAGGTATCACAAAGAATGCCTTGTCTTACACTAATTTGAGACAAAAGGTTAATTTTCCCCAAATTACTTTTGTAATGCCATTTTAGTATATGTTAATCTAAATGTGATGAAAAAGTAATCTTTATGGCTTTTCCACTGTTTGGCTGTAACATTTAATGTTAATGTTCTGCAATCACAGGCCTTGACACTGGGCATGTTTGCAGACATGATGCAATGTTTTGCACGAGGACCCTATCTGGGCTAACAAGCCTGTTTATCATCAGGGTTAATGAGCCCAGGCAGAATGCTGAACTAGGCTAGACTACTAGACAGCTCAAGATATTGAGTGCAGGCTGTTTTGGGTATGTCTGCATGATTACATTGTGCCATGTGGAGAAAAAAACTGCTTCTCTTCATTGATGCTGCAACCTATCACTTCAGGAATCGGATTTGTTAATCACTTTATAGAGTCTATATAAAAATGGACTTTGTAATTCCCTCATCTCTCGTCTATTTTTTCAGGAATGCAGTTCAGTAGTTTCTGAGGTAATGACTCAGAGTATTACCCGATATTACTCAACAAAATGCATTCAGTCCAGGTGGAGAGACAGAAAGTGTCTCTTGAAATATATTTATTTGGAAAAAATAAAATAAAAATGCAAAGTTAACTTGGAAATTATCATGTTTCCTATGCAGAAATCATAAAATAAATGACTTCTTACTCATTTTTCTTTAAGTCTCATATTTTCTCTTCAAATATCGTCTGCAGTCACTAAGCAGAAAATGACTTACTCCAGAAACTGGAATTCATGGTATTTCATTATGTCAGTTGCTGAACTTATATGAGTTTCATGACAAAAAATAATGCAGAACAAATTCAAAGGAAAATAACCAATAAGTCCCAAGATGCACACCTCTCTTTTAAGATGCATTTAAAATGCATAGAATACTTTATCCTTATTAATCAGTAGGTTTTATGGAATATTTTGCACATGTTCAGTTGGTTAAAATGTTTTATATTTTTCACTTGGTATTTTCCCCCAAAGTAGACATTCACATTGAGTAATTGACTGTGAACATTGGCACACATCAATAGTCCTTAATCCAGCAAACTTTTAAGCATGGTGGAACTGCAACAGCAAAAAAAATTTTGTAGGAACTGGAATATGTTTTTTTGCATTCCTACATACTCTTTTGAAGGTAGAAGTTGACCCTGTTTGTGCTTCCAAACATTGGGAAATTGGATAGGCATGTAATCATGGTACACAAACTGAACTAATGGGGCTCTATGATTTCTATTTCACTTGAAAGAGAAAGTTGAGCCATAAAACAATGGATTGACTGGGATGAAGGGGCAAATTCTGATTTCAAACAATAACAGGTCCTTTGCTGTTGCTAATGCCATCTCTATTCTTTTCTATGCTTTGATTTTCTATTCTGTGCTTTGATTTTCTTCTGCTGCATTACAAAATGAATGAACAACTGAACAATAACTTAGATAGGTATCTCTTTTAGTGTGTTGTGAAGAGCTGCTAATGCTTTCTGAAATATGTAATTCACAAAAGCTTTGGTGTTCAGAGATTAATGTTGAACGTGGGCAAACAGTTCTATAATTTAAAAAAAAAATTGATATTTAAAAGGATTTTTAAGCATTCAATGAGCTAAAGTTTAATTTATTTTCTATGGATGTAATTCAATTTTTTAAAAAGTCACATATGGCAAAGTCACACAGAGGTGAATGCACCAATAATGGCACTTAAGATAATGTAATATTTTCATTCTATTTTTTCCCCAAGGCTTCCAAAGACCTTTTGATCTTTCTTCCAATCCAGTGTATTGTCCTCCTACTCACTGACCTAGTTGAAGTATCACTTCCACAATCATGAAAACAGGCAATGCTAGGTATTTTTCTCAGATTGTCTTTCAGTGCCGATACTACCCCTCTTCCAAGTCATTATGGTAGATGTTTACTAGATTCTTTTAAAATGATGAATAACTGTACAAATCCTGGTTTTTAATTCACACCCATATAGGCAGAATGGGAAAAATATATTTTAGAGCACATTTTCTTGTCCATGTGTTTGTAATGTGATCAAAATGCGTGTTTTGGCTAAAACCCAAAACCTCAATAGAAGAATTAACATTATCGGTTACAGTAAATTCAACAAAACATATCCACTTACCTGTTCAAAAGTATTCTTTTGAAATTCTTCAAATCCAAAAATATCCAGTACTCCAATTTCAGATACCTGGTCACTGAGAAAAACAGATGTTGCAGATAATTCAAACAAGTGAATAATATATCTGTTGTTCGTGACAAAAGTATTTCTGTTCTAGGACGACAGCAGGCTGTATTTGAAAAACACAGTATGGAATACACAAGCAGACCATGTAGACAACAGAATCAAAATTCAACCCACCAACCTATTTATACTGAACAGAAATAAAAAAGCAGGGTTCAAGATTGTTTTAGCAGCCACTTTAAAAACTAAATTTGTAAGAGAAAGAAAAAATATAAGCTTCGTTAAAGTCCAGTTACTAAAGGTGTAGGTATCTATTCACTCAGATTAGGAATAGCCATTTAGGGGAAGTTTCAAAATTCCTTGGTTGCACTCAGATACCCCTTCCAGTCTATATTTCTTCAACAGCCGGAACTGCTCCTCCTGAATGTACTTCAAGGGGAACCTGTTAAGCCAAATCTTCTCTGTGCCAGCATCAAGTAGAGGCTGCAAGCTCAAGCTGCCCAAGAGGTTACATCTCTCAGGGGAAAGAACAGTCTGGATCTGGGCATGAAGAAGAGAGATGTTTCTTTTCTGTATATATAAAGGAATACTTGTTGGCAGTGCATCCGATTTGTCATGTGCCACTGCTTGCATTCAGGGAAGGGCTTTTATTTTGGCCTGATGGAAGGGTTAGGGCAGGGCAGTCACCTAGGATTTGGACAGGAGAAATGGGAAAGGGACAGAGGTGTTATTATTCTGTACTTACTTAGGACTAAGTCATTGTAAACCTGATTTGGAGAAGAAACTAAGTTCACTATGGGGAGCAAAATTAATGTTCTGGGGTATCCTGTTGCCTGCTTTGGAAGGATTTGAGAACTCTATATGAAAGGGCTGGATCACTGAGGCTTGTCTGCTTCTGTATTTTCTTCACTGTATCATTAGACAGAGAAAATAAAAAGGGTTACAGTAAAAAATGTGTTGCAGGTTGCCTATGTGAATGCAGTGGGACTTCTACAGAGTGAAATGATCTGCCAGCAGGATGAAAGACCTTGCGATATAGCCAATGGCTTTCTGGAACAGGAAAGATCAGTAAAGGAAAAATCATTCTTCTTCCTGAGGAAGGAGATGGACACTTTTCTAAAGCAGATGAGTTTTCCTTTTTCTTTGCTAACATAATTTGTAAATATATGGGGTTATACGTATACAAATAATATTGCAGCCTGCTGTTTCTGAAATCTACTTTTCCTTCCACATTTTTCCTCCACGTTCCATGGTTCCTCTATGTCTAAATCCATGTGTATATCAGGATATAGATGTAAAGGAAAAAAGGTGATCCACTGTTGAAGTACTTTAGTGTAGTTTTATTACGGTCATTGTAAACACTACCATTTAATTAGGTGAGGTTCCATCCCTGAAAATAAATTCCAATATAACAAACAAAAAAAGTAAAATAATAAAAAAGTTGAGTACTACAAAACAAGGTAGGAAAAACAATGCTCAAGGACAAACAGAGCCTTCTTCAGAAATCATACCCAAGAGGTTTGTCTTCATTTCTAAAGCATACTGGTTCAATGCACAACTGATCGTCACAAGACTTGCTATGCGCGTAAATGTCAGACTTACAAAGTTGCATAATAAATCTAGTCTAGAATGACTTTGTTAGACAGGAGAGGTTATCATGAGGTCGATTAGCCTCCAAAGGAATTTCTACAAGAAGAAGCATAAAAATATGTCACCACTTCCATCTCTAGCAATGAGTGCAATTTAAATTGTGTTTTAAAATGTCTCACTGTCAAGTATTCCTGATTAGAGATGGGTGTATATTCCTTGTCACAATGTGTTTTCAACACAACCAGTCCATTTCTATAAAGAGTTAGACATTTTGAAAACAAACTACCTGAGACTATTATTGAAAGCCAGAATTATTACGTTATTTAAATAAGTTTTGGAAAAAAAGCAAATTGTAATTTCAGAGTACTTAAGTTTTCATTCGCACTTTATCATTTTGTCGTTTATATATAGCTTTCCTTATAGGAAGTCAAAACATGAACTGCTGTGTAATATTGCACAACAGCTGAAATATTACATTGTATTTCACAATTATTAAGAACAACTTAACATGGATGGAACAGCTTATCCCTTCGTTGTCTGATTCAATGAATAGATTTGAGGCTGGATTTCAATGTCTCAGTTGACTGCCATGACTGCTATTTTGTCAAATTAGTCCCTCCTACTTTTTCTTAAGGAATATATGAACACTTGCCTAAGGAAAAGATCTAAACAGACTGACTTAATCAATTATTCAAAATCAGGCAAAATAGGAACCTGGCCCTAGTTTCTAAAACTCCAGGTACAAGCCTTAGCAGCCAGTCTATTGCCTACCTCAAATAACATTCCTTATCAAAACTGTGATATTTCGAAGAAATATCTTGATTTGCTGGAGATGCATTTGTTGACAGGAAAACATGTCATCCCAATTTTTTTTATGAACTCCACTTGATAATCTTGGCCTTGTATTATTAGAAGATGCACATACTACATGAAAAGAGCTGGAGGTTTTACATAATTAATATCTTGCCTACAGGGCAAGCATGACAGAACAAGGCTCTTCATCCTCTACAACAGTGACATTTTATTACTACATTATGGCATTTATTTGCAAAATCTCACCAACCATTATAGTAATTTTCTGTATGAAATTATTGCCCAGATTTTTGAAATTAAATAGCAACAAACAGCACAATATCAAAATTAAAAGCCTTATTTTTTATGTGACTATAAATTACTTTGCTTTGTTTTACTCTTTTTTCTTGCCTTCCTCTCTTCTATACCACTTTTCTTCCTAGAGGAAGGGTCCATATATGTTTTTCTTGGCTAGCTGACAATCATATTCATTGCAGCAAAATTACTTTCCTTAAATTAATCATAGCAGAGATTCCCAAGGCAAAATAAAGCATGAATGATCCCATGTTTACAAATGAAAGGGCATGTCACCAGTGTCTAAAAGAACAAATATTAGAAAAGAACACTTTTTGTTCTGAAAAATCCCCTTATTTTACTTTATTCTTTCATGGTTGCTAAACATCACTCACCCTTTTCCTCATTATGTTTCAGATATTCAATATTTACTATGTAAAAATAAAACAAGTATAGTTTTAGTGGGGACTGAGACTTTGAATTCAAGTTTGACAATATTTCCTAGCATAGAAATTAGAAAAACAGTAATTTGCCAATATTTGAAGAACGTGTTTACCTCTTAGACCAGTACATAGCTGTGAATAGTGAAAAACAGGCATGGGTGTTAACCATAACTCATTTGATTTTTGTGATTTACAAAACAGCATTTTGACAGGTAGTATTTTACAATGTCTGCAGTTTTGCCTTTTTCCTCAGAATGACATCTCTGTAAGCTGACCTTTTGATCTTGTACACTTAACAACTGCATTATAAAAAAACTGCATAAAAATTCTTGGCAACTCCTAAAAACAATACACATACACCAGACATCCTGTTTGATGATCTACTGTCTTGGCAGACAACTTGCCATTTGTCAAGAGATGCTCTTGACCCGTTTGTTACTCCTGGCAAGGTGAACAAAATTCCCTTTACAATACTTCTGACCCAATGCTTCAGACAAACCTACAGGATGTTATTTGATCACTCTTTTTTCACCCCAGATGGTTTTCAGCTCCAAAATCCATAGGGGTCATTCCCATTGTCATTTTTTTGTAATCTGCCTACATAAAGTAGTGAAGTGAATCTGTTGAGGCAGGATGATCTAACGTGCTTTTTCATCTGCCCCAGATACAGCGTTTCTTGCTCTTCCTCCAAATTCTGCCAGTAACCAGGAAGGAAGCCAGTAGGCTTATGTCTGATCTGGATAAACTAGAAGTAATACTGATTAATGAGGAACTATTTCTAGGATTAGATGAACTGTATAACCTAGCCTTCAAATGAACACCCTCAGAATCCTACTTAAGACTCCCTCAGTTCTCCCAGGGGGACAGATTACACCTGTTGCCATAAATATGGTTCTTGAAGGGAACAGGCTGAATACTCCCAGTTGTATATGCTCTTCATCTCATACAATTACTGAAAAAACCTAGTTCCTGAGACCTTTAAGAGATTTTTCTGAGTTTTTTTTAAGATTCTGAGATGTTTGCTGAGATTTGGTGTCATTGACACATCTCTCAATCGTCTTGCTCAACAACTGCCATTTTTCTTTCAAAATTACCTTACCCAGGTGTGAGTGGTATAGATAGAGACAGTGATTGGACACAGTGGAAAGAAACACTGGCTCCTTATCTGATAAACATTTCTTTGAGTGACTTGACAGGTATGGCAGGAGGGGAGAAGTATTTTTGCCAATAGACTCAAGATCTATAGCCTTCTCATCAGTAGCATATACTCTTCCCCAATTCTTTAAATCAAAATTTGTTCTGTGCTTTAAAAAATGGTGTTTCCTTATTTAATGAAACACTGGAAATGATCCAGACTGAAGCAGATCTCAAAATACGATATTATGCACCATATTGTATTAGATGCTTTGTACTGTTTCTCTGTTTTAAAGGTTTCCCTACCTCCACATATAGAGGTGATTATTATTATGCTGTGGGTTCATATTCTGAACAGGAACTCTCTTTCTGTCCTTCCTGCATTCCCAGCACCCTTCTATTGGGTTCAATAATAGGTAAATAAATATTTTAGCTTGTGCTCTGATCTTTTTTTTTAATCTAGGAAGATTTCTGTTTCAGAATATCCCGTTCAATAAATAAGGTAATGCGTATTAAGAAGTTTGTAAATGAGACTCCTGAGATCTTTCCTTTGCCCAAATAAATGTTGCCACTGCTACTCTCTGGCAATATTTGAATTTAGCTGGGAATAAGATTGCACAGTCAGAATACACAGTCTTTCAGAAAATACCTATTTAGAAATATTCTTTATGCTCTATTTGAAAGAGAAATCTGCTATGGCTGACCTGGTGATACAGATGATACAACTGAATGCTTTCTTGGCTTGTCTGTAATACAGCAGGCATATTGGCATTGGCCCCATCTTCAGGCCACGTAACAGAGAAACTCTTTGCTAACTAGCTAATAAAACATCATGCCTTCTACTTGCTAGTAGACAGGGAAGACAATATCAAGATTTTCTCAAGCATATATACCTAATTAACTTGTTTTTCATCAGAAAAGAAAAACAATGTTTCACAAGAGTTCACAGACACTCTTAAATCTCCATAAATGTAAAGTCCTTCTGCAGAGTGAGTCAGGAGTTCTTAAAAAATCACCTTAAGACATTGTAGTACTAATATTTGTATCACTAGGTCCAACTTTGCCAATGTCCAATCAACTATCTTGAAATGCCACATTTAGGCAACTGTGAATGTTCTAGTCTCCTTTATCTACAAAACTGTAAATCAGCATAGTTATTTGAATAGAAGTAAAACAATAGTAAACTTTGAAGAGCTAAGATTGTTGGGAAGAAGTCCTTCTAGACAATTTTTACAATAATAAAGTCAATAGAATAGGAAATATTTATATAAACTAATGAATATAAAAATTAATAACGTTTAAAAATAATTATAAGCACCTGTGAGAAATTTTAATAGCTTTCCTCTAACCCCATTCTAGATGCCAATTACAGAAAAACAGTTTTTCCAGTGAATATCTTTGAAACACTATCAGGATGAATAAAGTAATAAACCTCAAAGGTACTTGCAACCAGTCCAAACTAGCATCCATGGTTATAATTTAGTTCTAACTATGCAAAACAGAAAGGAACTTTTTATGAAGAACAACATTTCTGAAGGTGTATTATGCCACTTAACACTGTCATAAAAACTCTTGCTTTATATGTATTGCATAGTACTATGAAGTAATGAATATGCTTGATTCTGGCAACACTTTTATCCTCTGTACTTAATACCTCTAGAGCTTGGTCTTTGCAGCTTTTCATAGAATTGTCTCTCCTTCCCTTAGATCTAATGGCAATTATCACTTTTACCTTTGCCTGAAACCAGCCACAAGCTATTTCATAGTAAATATAAATCAATATTAAAGACCAAAATTTAGTAGCTTCACCATAAAAGTTAAACCCAGGTAACTGGTTTCCTCAAAAATGCCAAGATCAAATGTTCCTTTTAGAGTTACTAAGCCAGTAAATCTAATTTTATTGCTTCATAAGTTCTCACTGAAGTGGGGTGGAAGTACAGTTAAGCTACCTCACAACAAAACAAGAGAACTGGCTTTGAAACCTTACTTCAGGTGTCCGATGAAGTAAGCTTCATCCCACCTGATGAGTAGTAACTGTGTATGTTTCTGACCAGGGAATGAAGTGTGGCCTGAAATGTATCATCAGCCTTGTTTAGCCACATCAGTTAATTATCTTTAAGGAGAGGTTTATTAAAACTGCACCAATCTGGAGGTATAATGCTGATAACTGATAGAATTGCTTAGGTGTATATGAAATAAATCTGGACCACAAATCACAGATTCATGCAATGACTCGCATTAATCCAACTTGCATCTTAAGCTGTGATATGCCTTGACTTACTACTACAGGTTATACAATATGATTAGCCAGGACCAAGAAAAAGCTGTGGGTGGGGGAGCTATTTTTTTTATCTTTAGCTGGCTAACTCAAGTGAGGTTGAAATATCAATGAAGGATGGTCAACTTCATTTTCATATAAAATAAGCTATTTATCTGCAAGTATGGGAAGGGACCCAATTTGAATTTGGCCTGCTAAAATTTAATATGCCTTGCCAGCACTGCCAATATCTCCTGAGCTGGTTAGCTCCCTTTAGCCAGCCTAAATGACGAACTTCCCTTTTTCAGGCATGGGTGTAATATAAAACTGCTGCAAATTCCTGACAACATCAAACAGATATCCTATTTTAGCTAGGACTTAAAACATCATGTAACCTTTAGGTTACCACACAAGTAGAAATAGTTTCACTGAGAAGTACTTCCACACAGTAGAAGTCACCTCAGGCACATATGATTGCACTAAAAGGAAACTACAAGGTAAACAATATACAAACAGCTTTGACTTTCATTATTTGAAGATCCTATTGATACCTAGAAATTATAGGTTTACATTACTGAACAAGAAATACACAACACTATTCTGAAAGATTGCGAAATATTAAGTTTTAAAATCGCAAAATTACACATTGAAAAATTATTTAAAATAATTTTAATAGATTTTTAATATACTGATTCCAGATTTCTTCCTCAACGACCACTACAAATGAGCTCTGTGTAATTAGGGATACCTGAGCTGTATTGTTGTCTGTCGCAGACATGCACTAAGTTAAGCCCATGTTCCATAAGTCCCAGGAATGAATGGGGAAGAATTGCATGTGACCACATGCCACTGTCCTTCCTTGTTATAAACACAGTATTTCAAATTAAGACATGGATAGGAAAGTTACTCTAGCTTGGTTGTCTAGGTGCCTACCATTGTAAGGGGCTGTACAATCATAAACAGGCAAGTAAAACCATTCTGTGTTACTGGCAAACCTTCCTTTTGCCTCCAGCAGGAAGCTAGGCACTCTGGTGGTATATGTAATGACAGAAAACTTTCATGCACAGAAAGCTCTGGGTTACTCAGGCATGGTAGCTTTTTTCTGTTAGCTAAGCCTCTAGAAGAGAAATGTGATTTATTACTAATTGGCCTACAAATAGAATAGGAATAAAAAAGAAGATTGTGAAGTCTTCAAACTCTTAACAGCTCTGAAAGAGGGCACTTGCTAATATTTGTCCTATGAAGTCAATGCAGATATGACATACATCAAAAATACTTATTCTTTTTTGGAAGTTCCACGTCTGTGCTTTGTGGATTTCCATTTGCCAATAATGCCGAGACATCTTGTATGTAATGTTTTTAAGAAAGCTCATCTGAGCATATGAAGTGTTGAACTTTGGTTAAGTCACATGCACATGACCGTCTAATTAGGTCTACTGTCTTAGTTTGCTATTTTGATTCTACTGAGACTTCCTTTGTTTGTTTCTTTGTTAGTTTTGTTTCTTGGCTGTTCCACTGACACACATTAATTAGCATTAATTTTTTCTAAGAAGCAACACTGGATAACAACAACATTGAATTTAGCAGATGATAATGCAGAGACACCCGGAACATTCTTAGAACATTTAATTCAGTGAAGTTTAAACATTATTTTGAAACTCTTTGAAAAAAAATATTTTTTCAATACCCTGTGCTCAGGTCATAGTTTTGGGAAGAGCGAGGATATTCTGCACTAAAAAAACACCAAACACCTTTTTGTTTGTTGAAAGACTTAGCTCATTCTATATTGTCAACTCTTAAAAGGCTACTAATTCTAACAACCAATCTAGATTACTGCATACATGTCCCCCTGCACAAGTACAAATATAACCAAATCTGTTACTGAATAAACAATTTGAAGGAATGGCCAGTGATTTAAAGATCCAAGCATCACTGTCATGGTATCATAAAATGCTTTAAAAGATGGAATTATGTTTCTTTTATGGATCTGGATTTGAACAGATAATGGCACACCTAATAGTTTGTAATGGCTCTCCTACCTGCCAGTCTCATCTTGATTTTGAAGGTAGCAGTTGACTGAGTTGACTAAAAAGCTAAATAAACGACCATATAGAGATTTTGCCAAGAGATCCCGGTAAAATTCTGCAATCTGTATAGTGTGCCTCCGTACAATCATATCTCCTAAGAGAGAAAGCAGAAAATGGAGATGAAAGCATGCTGTAAATCTCACTTTAGGTAATTTTAGTTACAGTAAACCCTTCCACCCTTTGTACTTCTCCTTTGCCAAACATATACGTGGTGTTAGTTCTTTTTCTGAAGCCTTCAGTGAAAGATTAGAAGACTGTCAACACTTGCAAGATCTTCAGTTTGGAAACATGTACCTTTGTACTTTTTTCAATAGAAAAGTGTATGTGTACTACGCAAAGCTAGCATTTTACTGAAAAAAACTTTTTCCCCCCCCCCCCCGACAGTCCTGTTGACTGTTCTTAGTATCAATATCTAATCTGTTATCTTGTCACACTTTTGTAAGATTAATCAAGTTAGGAGTCCATCAGCGTCAGACTGCGAAACTGTTTTGCTCCATATTGCAACCACATTTCTAATTCAGTGTCCCAGTCTGACTTATTGCATGGCAGATAATCCTACAGATTTGTCAGAGAGAAAATTTACAAGACCATACAAGAAATAAGGAACAAATATTATCTGCTTTTGAAGTTCTCAAATCAGAAGGATTAAAATGCCACCGGGTCTGATCTATGGGAATGTAAGGTTGGAAAAGATTACCTTTAAAATACTGAACATCAGTTGTTAAGGCTGAAGCAAGCTCATCTGGTGAAACCTGCAGCATCCCTGCCACTGAAATGAAAAGAGAATTTAAAGAAAGCCTGATTTGTGCTCTACTGCTTATTTTATTTTTTGTAACATGTTTTATTATGTAGATGCTATTTTTTAAAAGTGAGAGAACCCACACATTAAAGAAAAGAGTACTGTCACAGGAGTAATCAAAATTAATGAACACACAAAATCGGATTACTAAAATCAGCACTTTGTGAAGTTTGAATGTATCTGTATATTGCATTACAGCTTGCTTTCTTCTTTACAGCTTACTCAGGACTTTCCCCAGGACTTGGCAGACTTTCTCTCTTATTAGAGTTAAGGTATGCTACTTATTGACATTCTGTATCCATAAGACACTTTGAGGAGATTTGTTAGAGACCAAGAGGGCAAACCTCAAAGCATGAAAACAAGAGACCCTTTGAAGACATAGAATTTGAATGTAAGGAATTCAATTCAATGCAAATTGTTCAGCTGTTGACAAGCAGCACAAGAGCATTTTAAAAGAAGACTGCCCAAAGTGCCCTGTACAATTTGTTTTGGCAAATGGTATCTTTAAATTTGACATTGAATTAGATCATTTGCGATACTCGTATTTTATTTTGTTCCATCAAAATCTATAGTTTAAAAAAATATCCAAGTCAATTGGACACTGTCTTCCCGCAGTAATTTATTAATTTTCAGAAGTAATTTTTTTTTGTCTCCCTGGAACTGTGTTTCCGTCTGTTGGTGGATCAGTGCAAGTGCCCTGATTGCGATGCTCCAAGGTCACGTCCTACTGACCTTGTTCCAGTAGCTGCAGGTCTGACACAAATGCTGTCTCAGCGTCTGTCAGAGCCGTAAAGCGAATGTCTCCAAGATGCAGAATTGCTGAGAGAATTACAAACAGGTTCTCCACCTCCTGCACATATTTTATGTAGAATTAAAGATAAAGAAGAGATCTGTTGGGCATACCAGTGAAAGGCAATGCTTTATAAAAATACAAATTATCTTAATTTGTTTCATTGGCTTTTGCTAAGCTAAAAAGTACTCATGTTTGAAATATTAACAGGAAATTTGAATTTAGAAATCAAACTGAAACCTATCTAGGACACAAAACAACATTACCTTTTTTTTTCTTTTGTTTTAATGTAAATCACATTAACTACTGAGTTAAGAAAGTTTCTCAAGATGTGATAAAAAATGCTGAAATAACTTTAATGGGTGCATTATTTCCATTAAGACAAATTCTGTACCTGGAAATAGCAGGGTTTGTTTTTTCCTCAAGCAACTACATTCACAAAAAAGGTGTCTAGCTCTAAATTATAACATGTTGCTGATAAGAAAGCTGTAGTTAAGGTCTAAAAGAAACAAAAGCTACCTTCCTTACCAACATACTTTCCCTCCATGATTGCATGCTATGTTCTCATGCCTCCAAGGCTGTGAAGCAGTTATCTTCAGGGATAGATTTTTTGTTGCCTCATTTTTACCACAGCAAGAGGACTAACTTTCTTGTTTGTTTTTTTTTAAAATGTTTTTAAATTCAAGCAAAGAAATTATCCATGAAATATGAACCAAAAATGCTAAGACATGGAAAACATCATGTAGTTTTGGAAGTTATATAACAAAGGTGCTCCTTTAAAATTAGAAAACAGGAAACCTGATATCCACTATGGCATTACATGGCATTAGGTACAGCAAAGTTAATTGATAATTCTTGAAATATTTTTGAAAAATAATATTTGGAACCTGATCTTATTGAAACACTAGAAGTGACAGTGAGAAGTGTCACTGGAATTTGCAGCATAAGATTAAAAAATTCACTACAAACGAAATACTTAGCCAATAAACCCCCTTTATTCTCAGGTGACTGCAATGAATTCAGAACACACTGAAATCAAACTTGGATGACTTTTCATTAGTTTGCAAAAACAACAGGTTAGAAAAAAGCTTTTCTTCTTTTTTCTTGTTCCTTTCTGTAATAAATATGCCCATCATCAGAGGACATTAAAATAAGCTTATAGTCTTTCTGGGATAAAGACTACAGCACCTCCAATGCTTTTTAAGCAAGTTTGATTCTCTAAACTACATTTTAAGACAAGAACTTCAATCTCTTACTGTATGAGATACACGTAAATAGGGCAACAGTATATTTTTCTATTACACAGTACCAAAGCCCAAGATTAAAACAAGCAATATATACAGGCAAAGTCTGAATAAAATAGCTCTTACAATAGAAGAACTGTCATGATAATATGGCATTCAAGCTAGGGTGCTATATCCTGCTTCTTGGGAAGTCCTCTTAGGCAAGATGGAAGGGCACTCTAGTACAGCATACTTCTTGCTTGTTTGTTAGCTTGTCCAGAACTGGTTTGGGGATGACTGTACATCACTGAATGGCAGCAGGCTGGGATACTTGTTTATTCTGGTGATTTTGGTGGGGTTTAGTTCATGTTCCAGATTCTCAAACACTTTCTCATTGTGTTCTAAGATGTGTGTTCCCTAAACTTTAAAACAATTTTTTAATAAACTTTAACATACCTTGCAAGATACCATTAAAGATTACTGAGGAAGATTTATGTAGTTCTTCAAAAAGATAATCTACTCTACTATTAAATGTGGCTAGATGGACAAAGAATAATACATACAGACCTTTCCACGTACCTTAGAAATAATGGGTAGAAATTTTAGGAGATGTGTCTTATCTGCATATTCCCCTGTAACCTCCAGCACAGGAGATCAGCCTACTGTTCTCTGGAGCTCCACAGATTTCTAGCCTCCTAAATGATTATTCTAACACTGCCTGCACATAAAGGAGCCTTGAAGATGATTTATTCTTTCCTGAGAGGCAACTTCCTTTCAAGAACTGAGCAAAGTGAAGTTGAAGTGCTGGATCCAAAAGAATACTGTATTTCTCTATGTAAAGTGTTCTCAGTTTCTTGCAGGTGTTTAAACATTCGTTACGCCTTCAATTATTTATTTATGGGGTGAACCCCTTTCTCAGCAGAACAGAAGGGTTAGTAGAGGGATCCAGCTACTTGTAAACACTGGGCTAAATGCAGAACTGCCTGGAACTTTTGTTACTGAAGTCTCCAGGTGCAGAGCTAGAGTCATTAAGAGTAAGGAATAAATTCTGTCAAATATAGCCATATTAAATTTTGTACATGGCCATGTGAATATTAATGAAAAAAACGCACTCTTCATGTTAAAAAGTGGCATAGGTTACCAAAGAACATTTGTTACCACCTTACTAGGGAATGCTAAACAACTACATGATGTACCACCACCACAGAAGTCTACCTCACACCTAAATAACAGCTTCAGCAGACTCGCAGTTTTTTGCTGATAGCCCTTGATCCTTTTTTTTTACAACTGTTGCCCATCTGTCATCTTTGATGATAATCTAGCATATTGTCACATCAACTTTTCCTCTGCTTTTTTCTTACGGTGCTAAATATCATGTAGGGGTAAAGAAGTTTTTACCTCCTTCTAGAACAACTATTGCTTATGCATTTGTTTTGCAGAAGTGTCCGAGCTACAGTGTGCTAGCTAGCATGTACATATGTAAGAAATATGGAGTTTGTTAAATATTCTAGTACCCTGAAGGGAATTACAAAGCTTACGTGAGTTCTTATACTCAGCCCTCCAGCTCTCCTGATTCCCCTCAAACCTATGTCATCCAGAAACTCTTCTTGATTAATTTTCCAGATTATCTTCTTTGTTGGCTTTATAGGATTAAAGACAAACATCAGACGTATCTTCCTGTTTTTTGGGGTTAAGTCAGCTTTTTCAAGTTACTCAGCTCTAATTCTGTTTGACTAAATATGTATTTACTTTTTTTCAGGTGTTGCTAGCAAAGGCTTTTGGAATGCGTGTTTCACAAAATTAAAAGGACAGGTTGATAATCAGGAAGAGGAAAAAATTCCTGTGGGTTTTATGAGGTTTCTGTCATATGGGATTTGATTGTTTCTTTTTATCTATGTAATTTAATTGTTCAGAGTATTATACCTTGAAGCTGTTCTGTGAATCTTTAAGAATGGAAAAGATTTACATTGTTGGTGCTGTGTCTAATTAAAACTGATTACAGTAATTTCCCTGGAGTGAACTAGTACTGTATATTGTTTCGAGGTCTTAACCAACAGAAAAAAAGAAAGACAGAAAGGCACTTCTTTGCCCCACAAACGATTATCAGTGAGACTTCCTTATGGTCTGCTTTTACCTAAGTAATACGGTGATTTTAGCCACAAATAACATAAGCTTATGTAACTTACCAAGCTATTGAATCCCATAGCACCTAGAGCTTGTTTTAGTATGGCTAATTTCTCCCTGTTCTGAGGGTTGGCTGTTAACATCGTCTCTTCCAGTATGGTCTGGCTTAGATACCTGCACAGAGGAAAAATAACATGTATTTTATTTACAAGGCTGGTGCACAACCAAATTTTTGAGGTTAAAAGCCTGCTTCACACTTCTAACCAGAGGTTTATTACAGATTTTTCGCAGCCTTTGGAGAAAACGCCAGTGACAGAATGCTCCATATTTCTTTCCTTAAGCTTTTGCTTAAGGCTCCGCCCCACCAACTTAAACTTGAACTTAAAACTTCAGATTTAATTTATACCACCAAGAGTTTTGCCATTCTTGCACTACCAGAGATTCCCCTTCAGAAGGAAGATTTGAGGAGATCCTCTGATAACTCTGACTGCTTTAAATTCCCCTCCTGCTGGCTGGAGAATAGATCAGCTCTTATCTGCCTGATCCCATGATGATCATTCGCTCCCTTAGCAGCCGAATGGGTGACAGGTATACTCAGCATCTCTTGTAGTAGTATACTCGGCATCAGTAGTAACTACGTACATAGAGTAGTAAGTGTACGGCTCTTAAGCTGTACTGCTTTGCACACTGTGAAGCAAAAGACAATTTTACAAACTTTCCCAAAAATAATGATTAGAAGAGAGAAAGACAGACATCTAGTGCAGCAGCTAGCTCAGGGGAAAAAAAAAAACAACAGCACCGACATAAAGAGCAATAACACAAACCAGAATCATCAGAAACTACAGTACAACAGACTGCTGAAAAGAACATCAATCTAACCTTTACAACGATGGGTTTTGACCCTCTTGATATATGTCTATGGGCCAGATTTTAAAAAGTATTCAGGTCTCTTCATACAGCTGAAATTACTAAGAAGGAGGTGTCTGAACATCTTATGGGATCTGATTTTTAATTACATCATGCTAGGAACGTAAAAAGTTGTTTTCTTTTATCATTATCATTAAATTGCCATTAAAATACACGTTAATCACACAATCTACAATCTTCACAAACGTCACTTACATCAACAAAAGAATTCCCCACACCTAAATCAAAAGAACATCATCACAGCACCAACAAAGGTGGACAATTTACACACACTCCAACCCTCATGCCTTTGCCACAATTACAGCAACAAAAAATCCCCGTCATTATTCTGCTCTCTAATAATGTTCGGTCCACGATCTGTCACATAAAGATGGGAAACAATACTGGTTTTAACTTCTGAAAATTCTTGTTCACAATCCTATTCTAATTGCACTGTAGAGGAGACACAAAATTTCCTATTACCACAGAAAGTCTGGCAATGCTCTAGTAAGGGTGGTAGGTAGCTCTTGAAAGATGGCCTATTATGTGAATGTGTGTAGCTTTTAGACACACATGGAAAAACGATTTAGTATTTGCACTTTTCTAACTGATAATGAGGTTTACAAGGTATACGCAACAAAATGCAGAGCGCATTTTTTAATGGATTGATACCAGATTTACCAATGTGGGTTTCAGTTGGAGTGATAATGGCGTAAGTTACCCCAGCAGGCGGGCAGAGGAAGAAAGATGGGGAAAAACCCATGTGCCTGGGTGCATAAGCAGTTTTTGCACCCACGGGAGAACTTGCTCAGCAGATACCTCAAGCACAAACAAGTCCTAGATCACAGTGGCTAAACCCTGCGAATTAATACAATGTTTGAAAATGTGGGTCTGTGAGCATCACCACCAGAGCTCTTGCACCTTTTCCTTGAGGTTGCTATCCACATCAGGTAGATACAAATGATAGCACAGCTGTGAAATTAGGTGGAGCAGATGACACAAGTATATGCCAGATTTATGGGGTTTTTTTTTTGGGGGGGGGAGCTTTTTACATCACCTGTATGTTTCAAAAGCAGGCTAGCATACATCTGATCCTGAATCTGGCATAGAACCTACTGGTATAAAGGTTAATCCGGCAGAAAATTTTCCACTGTTCTGAGCTGCTGTGTGAGCTTACACCAGTTCAGTGTTGTGCATCATGTGTCAGTGGCATTTTTGATCCATAATTAGGAGATTTACAGCAGCGTCTACACTGCTGTCAAAATATCCTATTGTTGAATGGCTGGAGGAGTTGGAAGCTTACGGCAATTTCTGCAAAAAAGCCTCCTCACTGGTGTTCTCCCTGAATAACTCTTTGTCTCTCTCTCTCTGTGTACTGAGCAAGGAATACGCTTTCCTGTCCTGTGAAGAGAGTATCGTATACTCCTCATATTTAAGCAACCCCATTTAATTAGTCCTTTTTAGCATCTCTAAAGTGCTAGTGGGTATCATCGTCGCAAGAAGGTGTGTGAGCACTACCAACACAGGCAGTGGCATAGCAAAGTGACCCAGAAGGCTCATTCCCTTGGAAGAAAGAGCTGAGCTGTGATATGAACCAACACGCGGCAGTTCTTGCCTTCAGCGCAAGCACTTCTTGCTGACACAGCAGGGGGCAAACTGGGTACCCGCCAAAGCAGATGCCTGTGGCTCCAACAACCCATCCATAAACTGCAGCATCTGCTGGGACATGCCTGTTGGAAAAGAGTCTGACTTTCCCAGTATAAATCTCCTAAAGATTTAATCAGCAGATGTGCTGCTGCCCTTGGAGAGGGCTGCAGTTGGGCACTTTCTAAGGTGCACTTGGATTTAGAATCAGTTTCCCCAGTGTAAAAGCAATTAAATTCTTTTATAACATGTCATGAGGCCCACTCATTTTCCAAACTATTTAAGGACTAATGAAATATGAAAATTGCTTTGAAGATATGCACATTCGACTATTATGTTTATAATACAAAATATATGTATATTAAGGATGAATTAATTGTGTAGACTACTTGGAACTGTTGATGGATATCATACAACTACCACAAAATGCAGGAAATACACAGTATAACAGAGTGGGGGTATAATATATATACACTAGCTGTACAAAGAATCACATTTTTCTATTTGTTGTTAAGTTCATTCTACCTCAGAAACATAGTGACATTTAGGAAGAAATATAAATGATTTTTTTTGCCTGTAAAACAGTTCTCTGGCATCTCCTTCTTTCCACTTTAAAGACCCTGAGGATGAAAACAGTTTGAGACACCCTTTGTATTAATATTACTACTATCACCTATTTATGCTTAAGAACTAGAGTCCAGAACCAATTTTAAACTGTCGCCTCTCCTACAAAAATAAGGAAAAGGGAAAGAACAGTGCAAAAGTCCTAATAATAATGAAACCTTCTTTCACTGCAGATCCATCATTATTCCATAAAATATAAACTTTTTTTTTCAATATATATAGCTTTCTTCATATTTATAGTGCATTTTTGTCTTTTGACATTCAAGTGGCCTGGATAGAATTGCATTGCTTGTGATGAAGAGGCATTAAGCTGCTTAAAATTTCCATTGTGAACCTACTGTGGAGCTTTTAGTTATTATTTTTAGTTAGATCTTTCTTATTGCAAACCAGAGTGTTATAGCCATCATATTTATGAAAACCTATGCTGTTACTAGAGTGTGTGTAATGTTCCTATAAGTTTCCAACAAGGTAGTCCATGTTCAAATGCAAACCAGACCTGGCAACTCCTGAATTCTTTGTTGCTGAAAACTTTAGGAAAAGAGGTACTACTGCTGTACAAGCCAGAGGTGATGCTCCATAACATCTGATGTATGCAGGCTGCACACCAGTTGTGGACTTAGGATAGTTTTGTTATCTGTACTTGTATATCTCTGTGTGCAAATTCACTCTGCAAATGCACATTCACAGTAGCTTACTGTAGCTTCAGAAAAAGACTCTCAGATTTTGGCTGAGGTTGAGCTGTTCAGTTGAAGGTAGCTGCTCCGACAAATTATATCTCTAGTAAAAGTGACAAACCAAGCAGTGTATGCAGTTCTGATAATGACCTCCTTTCTACTGACTGTCTATCCATTTGTTTAAATGCTGCCATGTCAACATTTGCATCGGCCTAGTACTCTCAACAGACAGCTTATCAACATACAAAAAAGTTTTAAAGACATGTGATCAGTGACTCTCTATTTAAAAGAAGAAAAAACTTACTGATCCACAAAATGTTTTTTTTTAAGAAGATAAGCTAATCAATAACTGTAGTATAGTCACTGAGTAAAACACAATACCGCATTAGACAGACAATTTCTTGAGAAATCTGAAAGACTATCTACGTAGTTTTTTCTTTCTCATTTTTTTCTAATAGTTCTAATTTGCAGTTTTGTAGCATTCTCATCTATTCTAGTCTCTCAAAGGAAAACAAAAAACCATTTAGAAGAAAAAAATCGATAGTGGTAATTTTTTAGTATACTGCTTATCATAGTATACAATTTTTCAGCCATCATTCGATGACATCATAGATCAAATTTTCAGGTAGGAGTGTGACTGGTGTGCCCAAGAATATGAAAATATACTTGATGTGACATTAAATTCTTCATGTATTGACTGCCATACAAGTCAACAATTACCCTACCTGTTTACCTTGTCATTCTCATTATGATATTTACATATAATCATTATTTGTATTACAAAACCTATATCTGTAGTAAACTTTGTAATTTCATATATACATCTCAAATATTAATAGGACGTTTGTAGGAATAAAAGTCAGTTTACCAAGACCAAGTTTTTGTGACATATGCATCTTTCAAAATTTCTTGCATAACCCAACTGGTTTAAAACTTTCTTTAAAGTAATATTGTCTGCTTAGATGATTGAACAAATAACAAGGAGTTGAGGCTAAAAAGAAATTTTTTGACTATTAGTTTGCTGCTCTGCCAAAAAACTCAGCAAAACAATATTTGATTTGGATTGAATTTAAGTTCATTCATTTTCTTTTGAACTGCAACCCAGCAACATTTAGTATCAAATGAAGTAATCTGCCTTATTCAACATAAACAAGACATGTCATTTAATTTCCTTACAAGAAAAGCAAAGGGAATAAAAAGTAGGACTCACTAAATTATTACAGAAGTTGAAAGTGTCTCTTTATTCTGTCTTTCCTATTAGAACTCTTATGTTTTTATAAAATCTCTGAAGAGATAAAAATAAAAAAGTTCCAAATTTGATAATTA